AGAGCCGCGAGAGAGTAGGCGGTTTCGAGCCAATATACATCGAGGCGCGTACACAGCAAGGAAATTATACATTCGTCTCACGATGTATCGATGATTGATTCGCTCGAGTTTTTTTTTCGTCACCCTCGAGAGAACGAGGTTAGACCATTACCATAATCTTTTATTAAAATAATAATACACGCATGAGAGCGAGACGCACGGACAAAAAAATTTCTTAGGTTTTAGTGGCTTTTTAGGATGAAAATCACACACAAGTTGATGACACACGAAATATTGACCTGCTTTATATTCTTCGGTGTTAATCTGACCACGACAGGTACATAAATGAGTCGCTCGATATTGTACTCGAATCGATGGGAAAAGACAGTTACGTGAAAACGTATACATTTATAATGGCCGCGAATCATATGCATAGTTTGGTTGGGCGTCAAGTAATCACGATACATCGGCCGAGTCAGCTATCAAAAGCACTCATCATATTCTCTGCAACGGGCATATATGTATGCACCTGGTACTCGATGCATCGCGATGATGATTTTGAAAGCAAAACAAATTAAATTTTTCATACCTCGTGCACCGCTGGCAAGTGTGCAATCTCCTTTTCACGTGCACATATATATAGCTCAGAGAAAGAAGAATCCGCTACAATATGAATGCATGAATTTCTTCAGCAACAACAACAGTCTAGCCATGAACGTGGTGTGTATGTGTGTGTGTGTGTGTGTATTATTCCAAGGAGAGGAGCTCAAGGAGAGGAAAAAAAGCAGCGGCAGGGCGCGTGCATCAAGCGAGAGCGATCTTTCCTCCCGCGTGAATCAACGTTTAGAGTCTGTGAAAAATCGTGAGTTGCAATAGAGAGGAGAGAGAGAGAGAGAGAGAATCGCCGGAGGGTTTTTAGAGTCGCGCGCGCGCACGCGACCTGAGAACATATTGTACTGGACCATGGCCAGATTGACCAGGTTTGCGACTCTCTCTCTCTCTCTTTTGCTCTCAGTATATAGAGGCCTGCTGCACGAGCTGCACAATGGCTATATGCACATAGCCTCTCTCTCTTTCTCTCTCTTCCTCTCTCGGAAAGCAGAGAAGAAGACCGAGAGAAAATCTCGTGGAAACAAGGCGGAAAGACAAAGAGATGGGATAGCTCTCTATCTATGTAACCCCCTCTAGGCACTAGAGGAAGCTGCAGCAGCAGCAAGTAGAAGAAGAAATCGCGCCTGGACTGGCTTAACACAGCACACACCGAAGGATAAATATTAGATTCGCAACCTTACTCTTACTTTTTTCTTCGAGCTCGTGCTTCCTCAGCTTCTTGTGCATCTACATGTGAACTCGCTTACTTTTCTCAGTCTGTCTTTTTCTCTCTCTCTCTCTCGATATGTGCACGCCGGACGCGCGCGAGACACATATAGATATAGATACGTATTACCCATCTCTCGTCGGTGAAATATTCAAGCTATTTTTTTCTTTCTCTTTTTTTTTTATTCTTGCTTCCTCGCTCTCTACAACATGACCAGTGGCTTTCTCGCAAGTTTGCGTTTGCGAAATCCCTCGCACAGCTGCATCATCATGCGCTCGAATAATATTCTCATCGTGCATGGTCAGTGCTATACACACGTACATGCGGACGCACACACACACTCTTACACATGCCCACATATGCGCGCATTTGATATCATGCCCTTGTAAGCATCAACTGCAGCGAATACGGTGTACAGAGCGCGCATTGCATTGCATTGCATTGGGATAGATCGTTTGTATTCTAAAGCAGCATTTATGCATATGCCGCACATGCATGTGTGTACGGCCAGAGAGGGAGAGAGGAAGCGGTGGCTGTACACGGAGGGCCACCGGCATGGTGGACGTCTCTCGAGCGCGCAACTAGCGACTCACTGACATGCCTGCATGGTGCAAAGAGTATGTACCTCTTTCCTCCTCCTATATACATTCATATACCTCCTCCCTCGGTGCGCATTTCACTCACATACACACATACACGCATACAGTGCAATCGCAGCGGGCGAGTGGCGCCGAGGAAACGAGAAACATCGAGTTGCTGCACATTCGTGCGCGCGTGCCTCCGACCACTGCTGCTGCTGCTACTCCTCCTCTTTTCATTGCTCTTTTTTAACGCGGGTTTAATCTTGCCTCTCGTCTTTTTGTCCATCGAGAGACGATGATTAGCTTATAAACACAAACGCACGTACACGCAGTGAAAGAAACGAGAGAAATATCATCGCGGCTCGATTGATTATACCGCACCGACGAGGCTTGTAGTACATCGCGAGCTGCAACGAGGCAGGATCGCCCACCGCCATAAATGATCGCACACGGCTGCAGTCTAACGCAGACGTCGATAGCAATTTTTCTAATGGAAAAAGTCCACTCCGATACAGCTGCAGTGTACAGATGCAACGTGTAAGTTCTTTCCCAAAGTCATCGATCCTGCAGGAGGTGAAACTTTGCTCTATTAGAATTGATGATGCGGCGCATACATACTAAGCTCCAGAGGTAGTTCATTAATCGGGCATGATTCTTTGATTCTGACCGGGAGTTCGTCTTCGCGTGCGCCCGGTGTAATAACAACAAAGCAAGGCAGCTCGTATACGATGTATATGTGCAATAATTTGTGTGCTCAGTACCTTCTGTGTTTTTTTTTCTTTCATCAGCTGCAGCTACCTCATTTTGTACAAAGCTGAAAAATTTAAGGAGCGCTGCAGGAGGCATTATAAATAGATTTTTACAAACCCATCCGGAGCTGTCCAGATAGATCGAACTCGATATAAATTAGATTTCGCCGGTCTAATGATGCAACGTTAACGTGTATCGATATTAGCAAAGTTTAATAACACTTAATGGGTCGTAAAAAGAGATTTTCTCTCGGTCGAACGTATTTCTGTATACCTGTTATACGTATATCGTATGTGTTAACGTCCATTAGCTCGGTAAGTAATATTTGGAATTATTTTTTTCATTAGAGCATGGACGAGAGATAGAGCGCGTTGATACTGCACACATATTATTGCAACTCGACGGATATATCAATTAAAGCGAAGAATGTCCAAGCCCATTATATTTATCGATGTTCCTATGTGCACACATTTCTTTATCCATCCTATTACCCGTATAACTGATACGTGCATGCATAAAACTATGTTGACGAGTAAATTCTCCACTCGTGAGCCACCAGAATAGTGATATTCGATACATCGAATAACTTTGCATATCCTCGATAATATTCCCGAATAGCTCGTGCGCGACAGTCTATATCGCCTTTCAAGAATTTCGCTGATACGATATTATTTTTGATGCTACACTAGACGCGATTCGTGTGCGCGACAATATTATAGCTCGTCGCGTATAATTAACTTACATGGCAGCGCGAGTTAGAGAATACCTATATGATAAAATTATGGCAATATAGGCAGTGCAGTAGCGGTGTTATACCGCCTGGTACAGGTCTGTGAGCACGGCTCCACACACACGTATGCGCTCTCGAGCTTGGCCATTTTTTAATAATTAATTAGATCAGCGCATTACGAGCTACTTGGCAAAAGAATTTGCATAGCGCGTTGTCGCGATGTTTACGTTACGAGCTCGCGAGCTTCACTTTTTATAAATAATAAATGCCAGCCGTTTCGCAAATGCGCCAAGCGCTCGCGATCGTGTGTTTATATATATAATATGACTCGTAACTGCGTTCTGCATTATAACGAATGCAAAATGAGAATTGTTTGACATTACAAAGTTGCGAAAAACTTGCATATTGTTATACATCCGCGCTCGTGGTGTAAAGTTACAGCCATTTCTGAAAATTTTTGGAAAAAGTTCAATGGTCCGCGTGTGCCGCGCTTAAATTATATGCACGTAGAAAGAAAGAGAGAGACGGATAGAGAGCTCCGTTTCGTTAATGAATCATTCAAAACGTCGACACACTATATATATTCTCTTTCCTCTATGCAGAAAGACGTCGAGAAACTTTAGACTCGTGTGCATGTGTATACGCGACGTACGTACGATTCGTGTGCTCGACTGCGGCTGTGTACCGAAAGCAGCTCCAAAAAGAGGAGTATTATTTTCTCAAGGTAAGCTATAGAGAACAACACAATGGTCGATCGAATGCAGGACAGTATTACGCGCAAATACACAACTGCTGCCTGCCAAGGCCATTATTTACCAATTCGCTATTATCTAATAAAATTTCCATCCAGCCTGCCGTGCGTGCGAGCAGACACATAATATTTATATACGTTTGTGCTTTGGCCTGCACATACGCATTATACGCGTATGTACGTAGGTCTATATACTCGAAAATCGCCGTGAAATTTCTCAACGCACGTCATCGTCGTCGTCCCTTATACTTTAAAAAACACACTAGAAGCAGCTTTCGCAGCAGCAGCAGCAGCAGCAGCAGCAAAGGGACACAGCGGCTGCAGAGAGCCGCTCAGCTACTGCGACTATGGTGTGTATGATAATATATAGGTATATATGCGCTGCAAATGTGCCGTACAGAGGTAGGTATATAGCGAGGAAGCAAGAGTCGAGAGATCTCCCCTTCTCTCTCTTTCAGTGGCATGCACATACCACTAGAAACCACGACTCTGCACAGCTCGATGTGTGTATGTGTGTATATGCCGAGCGTCTGTCTGGCTCGCGCGCGCACGTTGCCATGTACAGACCCGAGAGAGAGAGAGAGACGTAGAGCTGAGAGCAAAAAGGATAGACGACGCGCTCCGAAGCGCATACATATAGCTTTATACGTACACGGCTGGCATACACACACACATACACACAGATATTCGCACGAGCGGCAGAGAGAAACGGCGACAGTGTACAGTAGTGGTAGTAGTAGTAGTAGTAGTAGATATGGTAGTAGTGGTGGTCCGTGTGCTGGTGGAGGTGGTGGCGGTACTGCGGCGCCGGCGGCAGCGGGTTTTCAAGCCACGCGCGTTTCGGAGCGCAAGTATAAATCGTACTTTCAGTCTCCCTTTGGACGTCGACGCGCGCGCAAACCTATACGTGTGCTCCGATGCTGCCGCGTCTTTATCGTAAAACAACACACTCACACAGATCGAGAAGAGAGCGTCAGTCGTCTCGTCTAATATATATCTTCTGTGTATAAAATACGAGACGTTATCGTAATTCTTTCAGACCTATCACTTCATATTAATTGTTGATTTTTTATCGCTCGCGAGTTGGATCAAAGCTATCGGCCTATATAGTGTTGTTTTCGTTGTGTGTTTGTGACCGTGCGTGTGTGTCTTATATGTGTTGTTGTTTTCTGGTGCACAATCGTGAGAAAAGGAGTTTGAAGTGAAGTCAAACGATCCTCTTACAGTCGCCGTGTAGTAGTCGTCGTCTCGCACAATAGAGAACGCAGAGAGCGCATTACGTATATATTTATCAGACGCACAGTACGCTGCGTGCATACATAGACGATTTATGAGTCTCGTGTCGTCGATGGATTACAGCACGTAACGAGAGAGAGAAGGGCTGTTATTCGCGCGATTATCTCCTCTGTGTCTCGGACCGAGTATTATATCGAACGCATTTCAAGTGATCATTAGAGCACACACATACGTACTTGCATTCGTAGAGAACGAGACAGCGAGACAGAGACCGAGATAGAGAGCAACGGATGCTGCACATTGCACTCTACCGTAGTAGTACTCTGCTTTGGCCCGAAGGAAGTGACGACGGATATTGTGCGAATTAACGCGAGTGTTATACGAATGTAATATATTGTTCGCAATATTAGTCAGTGAATTACGCCAGTGCACTGCGAGAGCTTTATATATAGATCTCAAATCTCAAGTGACGCTGCTCATTGCGCCGCTTAATCCTCGCACGGCTATTCTTCATCGGTGAGTTGATATTTTTATCCCCCTGAATTGCGATGCGCACTTGCGGATATAATTCAAGGCGCAAAAAATAAAAAGTCGCGACGTCTCTTATAAGCTGACCAATTGCACGAAAGTGTGGGATGGATTGTTGTCGCCTCGCCGCACGTTTCATAGTATTTTATATATGCGTGGGTGGCTCTCTCTTTCTGTTGCAGGCGCACGCCTGCATACACGTACGCGGCAGTTTTGCAAAAAGGCGATAATGTACAGTCGCGAGCGGCGGCGTCGGCTGTCAGTGCTGCAGACGGACGGAAAACAGAAACGCGCGCGGTTTGTTTTGGACGCGGAGAGCTGTGTAGTTCGTGCGTGCTCGCGTGCGCCTTTCCAGAGATATATATACCGTGAAAGTTGACTGCCGTTTGCTGCTGCAGCGTATTATGTGACTTTAATGTATTGTACAACGTTGCGCACACATACTCTATATAGCTGCATGCGTGCTTATAAACGCATACGCGCTCCGTCTAAAATAGAATAATGGGAATTGCTGATGAATGTAATACGTTTATGTCACTTTATATATCGTGTGCAAAACTAGCTCTCTTTCTCTCTCTCTCTCCTCGTCTTAATAGGACCACTATTCAAAACTAGCACCCGTATTTTTGTTTTCTGTTTTTTTTTTGTCGTGCGACACCGAGTATAAGTGACGACGACGATTCGCTCTTCTATAAACTTTTCGCAACGCTACGAGTTGCTTATTGAAGTGGCAGAGCGAGAGTATCCCTCGCAACGGACTGCAGTGTGCAAATGTGTCTGTGCGCGCGCGCGCGGAAAAACAGCTGATAAATTCTCGCTGACTGACAGATTGCACTGCCGTTTCTACTGCTACTGCTGCAGTTACAGTCGCGACGCCGAAATGCTTTTTACTCCGGAAAAATTCGATAACGCGCTTGGAGTATGATTATGGCGCATAAACATAGTTGGCCATTTTTTCTTTTTATCGCTTGGTATAATGCGTACGAAACCGATAAAATAATGATTCGACGTTATTGTGTCAAGGAATCGGATCAATAACAGGCGGTACATATACGCGCTATCGATGCTGACTAACACGCAATTTAATCGCCTTATTATCTCGGAGCTCTCTGCGAATTTCCAATATACGCGAGAGATGCATAATTAAATTTTGTAGGCCTTTTTTATGATGCTCGATCGTCTCTCGAAGCTACCACGAGAACTCTCGGGACCTCCTTATCGGTGCAAACACGAAAACAAGCGTCAACACATAAAATCCTATATCTAATTCATTCATCGAACGAACTTGTAATTCATAAATTTCGGCGTTCTGCGAATAAAGTCCGCGCCTATATTATGCGCCTACATGTGGTCCGGCCGGTTGCTTCGTTATACATATTCGCGATATACATATATAGTAGCTGCGCACACCAAAGTGTTCTGTTGTTCCGTACTGCAGCAGTCACTAAACTAATAAACTTTTTATACGCTTTTCGCCCCGCGTGTATGCGCAAAAGTGACAGTGATGACCGTCGTATCCATACACACATATATTGGCCTTACACGTATCACTCACACACGCGCTTTTTTATGGAGAAGCAAAGTCTAGTTCGTACTCGACACTGTCGAAATAAAAGCTCACTTCATGAATAATGCTGGGCCACAGATCACGCATAAATAAATTTTTTGTCACTCTTTCCTCTCTACATGTCGTTTTTTTCTTTCGCTTTCACAGCGGGGTATCTGCTATCAATTAGCCATTCTCCTCATCCTGCGCAGACACACAAATACACTTATACTCAGACGCGCATAATGAACTGAACTTTTTTTCATTCCATATGCTCGTGGCATGTTTGAAAATCCGCCAAGCGCGTGCATTACTCGAGGCATTTGTGAATTCCTCGATTTTACATCGCGTAGAAAAGTGAAGTACGAAAAAAAAAGAAAATTATGCGCGTATGCTCGAACTAAACATTCGCGGTCGTGCTTCGGATCAAAGAGTGGTAAGAGAGAGAAAGAGGGAATGAGGATATATACATTTTTTGGTTTATACAAACTGCATGTATATATAACTGCCGTGACCGAGAGAGCTCGAGTTTGTCGCAATTTTTTCCTTCATTTTTTATTTATTTTTCGCTTTCCGTGCAGACTGTAAACCTCTAAACGTATATAAATTACGGTAGAGTGAGAGAGAGAGAGTTCCAGAGGGAGAGAGATACGACGACGATGCGGAATTCGCCACGGCCGATCCTTCCTATATACATTTGCGAGAGACGCTCTTCGCTTCTTCTTCTTCTTCTCCGTTTTTTTTCTTCAAGCAATGCGTTATTTTCGCTTTCGCGCTCTGTTCTTTTCCTCCTCTTGCCGCCTTTAATGAGAGCAAAGTATAGCGGCTATATAATACCGCACGCACGACAGCGACTGCGTTTATCCACAATATAGCGTGCAAAAAATCAACGCACTATATGCTGCAGCGTCAAGCGAGCGCGAATCATCAAAGTCCGCAAGAACGAGCCGAGAAGGAAGGGCAGAAAAACGTTCCCCGACCGGAAAGGAATTACGTCAGAAAAAGGCAGTGTTTCAACATTATATTATACATGTACAACGGGTAGGCATTAGTGCAACGTCCGGTCGTCCCCGCGACGACGTAATAATATTTGACTGGCGCTCATGGTCCGGCGTCGACGAGTCGCTTACACTGCTACTGCTCAAGCTCGTGCTTTCTCTCTCACATACATAATACGAGGCTCGCGTATTATACACAGAGTTAAGCTAGCGCGCACACACCGTACAAGAACATGTGTCACCCACTTGCCGTTCTCGCGATTCGATTCTCTTCCTTTTTTTTCCTTTCTTTCGCTTCCTAAACTACGACTTTTTTTGTCACGTACGGAAGGGTTCGCGTGAATTTCTCGCAAGTCGAAAAATTGGCTTCCGCTTACAGTGCGTACCGGTGCGAGACGAAGACATTTTTGATGTAACGATCTTCGTGTGCAAGCGTATTATGCTATATGCATCGACGTCCAAACAATTTTCTTCTCACCTAAAGGACGCTCGCGCGCGCGCGCACACACGCGCGTGAGTGATTTAACGATCAGCTTGCCATCGACTGCAGCCTGCGTGCGCCGTAATATATAGCAAAGTATACATGTATAACTTCGCCGTACGTACTGTGTGCCATACGTGTGTGTGCACTCACTCGAGCTCGCTCTTTTTCTTTCTCTCTGCGTGAGAACTTTATTCTACCTGTTACAATACAAGGGCTTATCCCCTCTGGGCTACCTTATTCCTTTTCTTTCCTTTTTCTTTTTTTTTTCGACAACGCCATCATCATCATCATCATCAGCGAGCACGGCCATAAATGTACACGCAGTGTGCCTCGGTGCACAATGCCAGCGTGTGTTGATACTCGAAAAATGAGCGGTGCGTGAAAAATCGGATTCAGTAATCGCTTTACGTTTCGTTAAAGAGAGAGAGAGAGAGAGAGCAAGAGAAAGAGAGAAGCTCGTAATACACGAATTGCTTACTTATACGAACACTTAAAGGGGGTGCACATTCACAGATGCTTTAATGACCGGATAGAAGCCCGTATAATCGTAGGTGCAGTGCGCGCGCGCTAAGTCCCTCTCATATATACGAGCTTTTGAGAGGTAAAGCAAGCGTTAAAAGGAGATATTCGATCGACGGAGCACAAGATTTAAAAAACGTCCAAGTAGTAGGTATATATATATGTGTGTTTGCGCGCCGCATTCGTTGTGGGAGGTAGCGGCAGCAGCGAGAGCTGAGTCGGCAATTTCATCCCATCAAGGGATAAACATAGAATTTCAAGTGTATCTCCCGTAAGAAACGTGCGCGGAATAATACCGTCCAACATTTTTAAATTGTCTTACTAGTTCGCCGTCGTCGCCGTGCAGTTAATGACGCAATTATCATTCGGAGCGTTCGAGATAGCTACGTAGCTTGTCATTTTCCGGGGTCAAAAAGCGAAGGCCCTGACCCGCTCGCTCGATCGTGGATAAGAGCTGTTTTTCGCTTATGTATCATACGCTCGTTTTCTTTTTCGTCGCGCCGCTTTATGCGCTTCGCGACGCACCGAGACTTTTCATCTTGCATACACGCGATAAGCGAGTGCATAAGAATAAATCGTTGCAAAATTGCAGCGACGTCGCTGCAGCACGCTATCTATGGTCTTGAGGATTTTTTTGTCTTCTCGCGCACTAGTGGCATGATTCAAGCGCGCGATAAATAAAATTCCTAGAGTCACGCAATATCATTACTTTGTCTCGACTTGAAAAAATCACGACATAGATTTCGTATAATTTGAGTCATGTCATTAATTAATATCCTTTCACACGCTTGTCAATCAACATTTTCCGAAAAGACCTTTTACGCCGAAAGTATATAATTCAAGCGAACTCGTCGTGCGTCAATCGTTATATGCATTTTTTGAGATCGGTTCAATCCTCTTTCATGTATACTCTCGGTTCTCTCGCATGGAAAAGCCTATAGTCACGTAGTATATGTGTGTGTGCGTACCAGCTGTCGCCAAAAAATTCAAACTGAACATGATAAAACAGCAAGTCGAGCAACCATATGCTACGGCTTGTACGTAAAAACGCATTTCGCATATATTCGCCGTTCTTTTTCTAATTCTCCGGGACATTTTGATAGCCTGGAAAATTCGACGATTGCAACGGTCTCGTATAATCCGATGCATAAAGTTTTGCGTAGCGAGACTCGTTAGAATATTTTTGCACGCAGTCGAAACATATGCACAGAAATATGCGCGCGCGCGCGTATCTTTGTCTTATTAATAAACCTCCTCTGGTTCGCGACGTGTGGGGGGTGACGAGAAATTTTGCGCAGCTCGTAAAATATAATTGCCATACTGCTATATACGACGCTAGTGTGAAAATGACTGCAGCGGCAGCGTTATGTACGCCGCAGATCAAACAGCTGTACACCATTACAAAATTAGACCCCAAGGAAACAAGAGCGATATAATAATTTCGTGTTTTGTTTGTGGGTATTATTTCTGAGAGATAGGGTATATTATATAGAGATAAAATCGGCCTCGTAATACACGCGAACTGCTAGCGTACTTTCAACCTGCGCGTCGCAAAATTATAATGTAATAGAACCACGTTAAATCAAAGATTTTGAATGTAGGCCTGCTTATAAAATCAACACTCGTTGAATCAAGTCTCCGTCTTTTGAACGCGACTACAGGAGAGATGGAGGATACACGTTGCGATTATGAACTCTCGAGTAGGTTACCAGGGAGAAAGGTGTCTCGTCGCGTCGTGATCAGCATAATACGCGTGGATTACACACACAAACACGCGGGATTCGTATGGCCGAACGTATAGGCTCGCATACACATTATATTATTAACACTTGACACAACATTTCGGGATCCTCATAAATTGTGCGCGATTATAATATATACAGTTTTTCGAACGTCTGCCTCGCTCTCCCACACCCGCTGAGTATTATAGCTACGATCGACCGATCGAGCCGGTGCTGTTGCTGACCCTTCAGCTTTATATATGTACAACGCGAACAAAACTGTACACTTTTGGGTTCATTTCGTTGCGGGGAAAAAGAAAGAGAGAGAGAGAGAGAGAGACGCATCGTGGGATACTTATAAGTATCGACTCCTCCTCCAACTAAGTATATAAGTGACTGCAGAGGTCGATCTTTTTCGGGAAAAATGAGAAAAAAAGAATCGTATTATTGTATCGAGCACAGGGGATCACTGCCGAGTGTCGCATTGAGCAACAACGGCGTCGAGACGCATGTGCGGACACTTTTAATACGTACGTACGCAATATCGAGCTCGCGCGCCGATCATCGAGCGATATATTCATTGAACGAAGCTGCTAGCTGCTAGCTGCTGCACCCGCGTGTGTGCGTATATATTTCATTCATGCTGTATTGGAAAAACTTCCCCCTAGGCTACCTATACGCCACATACAGGCGCTCGCGCTCGACATACACACCGTTTTTGCAAGGCAGCGCCTGGCACAGCTTCTTTTGTGGGGGTATATTTTTCATTCAATGAATTATACATCTGCTTATACGCACACGCGTGCGAGTTCGCTTCACATGCGTATACGCCAGTGCAGAGATGAAGTGTAGATGTATTATTTAGACGGGGACAAGCGCTATATATAACGCGAGAGACGCAGAAATTCCCACTCTTGCATATATATAACATTGCTCAAGTTAATAGGAGTTTGGAAATTTTGATCAAACAATGGTGCTCTGCGGTCTGAACTTGATAATTCTTTGCGTGCGGCGCGGCGCGAACGCGGGAGAGAGCTATATCTATGTGCCGTGCTGACGCCGAGAGGGCGAAGAACCTTGACTGCGTTGCTTATTATACGTTCATGGACACACGACAGCAGCGATGTGTACCGGTGCGAAAGTTCATGGCACTACCCTACGAGCGCGCGCCAACGTATATACGACGAGAGGAGCGTAACGAGGAAAGAGCAGCAACAGCAGCAAACTCTGACTCGTCAGCCGGTTACATTAAAGTAACCCCTTTATTGCGGATTCCGAATGGAATTTATCGCCTGCGACTGCTGCGCTGATGAGTTTTTAGGAGGATTGACGCGAGATTTTAATTAGTTTCAAGGTTTTTTTTTTGTTGTATATTTTTTTATTTTCTATGACACGTCTAAGATTCGTGGAAATTTTAACAAATCAGAAACGCTCTTATCTTGCAACTCGTTCGAAACAAGCGTCGTCGCGTCTATTACCGGCAAATAAATTGCGCGTTTAGCAGCAATTGATAATCCATTAATGCTTTTTGTCCGCACCTAATGATGCGTTGATGAGGCCGCGCTAACACGTGTGCGCTGTTTTGCTTGCGTCCGAGCGAACCAGATCATTAATCGACGTTTTCTAGCTCGGTGTAAAATGTTTATTCGAGCGCCAATTAATCATAGCGCACGCGTAAGACTAGTATTTATATTGAGCTCGGGCATGAATATTCATCCACGAGGCGCGCGCGCGCGCACGGGCAAACGCCGCGTTTCAAGTTTCTTATATATTCCATAATAGTTTCCAATAAAACAGGCGCATAGCACTCATTTGTCTATAATATACAAGATCGCGAAGTGAGTTTTGAAACGTCTTTAGTAGGAGAGCATATAAAATCGCGCTTGGACCAAGGTTAAAAATGTTAAATCACTCCGCTGTGCAGGTAGCTCGAGAAGTACCTCATCGTCGTTTTCATACATTATAATACTTTTACATTCAAATGGATTTTTTTGGTACGTCGCGGGCCGATATATAGGCTTTAAGTGTATGTACTTCGACGACGTGAAAATATCTTTAGTGCCCTCTTTTTAGCTCAGCTGCTTGCTTCTGCTGCTGGGATAGAATAATATTTGGTTAGCTTTTTTCAGCGACGACGACGACGAGACGACGCTTCTTCTCTTGTTCTTGTGTTTGAACGCTCGGTGCACGCGGGCCCTCGTCGTCGCGCAGCGGCAGCCTACTTACGAGCGAGCTTCTTCTTTTTCCTTCTTTTTCTTCTTTTTGTCCACTGCTTCTTCTTGCCATCCTCTCTTCTTCTTGCACAAGTTGCATGTGCACTTACATACACATATATGTACTTGTACATTCAACCGTGTGACGCAAGGCAAATAAAAGTCTATTTGAAAAACAAATGTCGCGCGCTGCAGCTCTATAATGCAATGCTGCCGATATCCGCCGTCTCTGCGATCAACTGATTTTCTCAAAGTTTTTTCGTTGACTCGCTCCTTTCGACTGACTTTTTCCGCCTCGATATTTACGTATACCGTACCGTACGTACACATAACACGTCGGCGGCGGCGCTGAATCCCCGCGCGTGTTTATGCTACTTGTCTTCGCGAGACGCTTAATACGTGTTTGGTTACATTGTGTATATACACTCGCTCTTTGCCACTGCTAATGGTTTATTTTAATGAGCCGCGCGTGTTTTGATAACGCGACGCGTATGAACGAAGAGTTAATTTGTATCGTTTATCTTTCGTATAAACGGCGTAACAAGTGCAGCGACCTTTTGTACCAACAGTTTTTTCATTCATCACCCCAACTCGATTCGCTCGAGAGCAAAAAGAAATTACGAATGCGCGGCGTATCCCTGACAATGCCTCGTCGTGGAGCAGCTATTTTTCTTCGCATTGGCCGAGTTTTCTAAATAGCATTATATAGACGAAGGAAGCCCGTGAAGTTTCATAAAAACGAAAAAGTTTCGTCCTTAAAGCATCGTTTGAAACTTTTCATTATCTCACAAGGCACCACTACCAACGCGAGTCAACTTAATTATATTAAGCGTTCGAGTGTGAATATATGGTAAATAAGGCGCTCTCTCAGTCTGATTTATGTGACGCTTATTACGGGCTTGCGAAATGACGGCCAAGAGCACAAGAAGTGCCGACGTATATGTGCATACGCATATGCGCGTTTTTACTCTGCGCATCTATTTCTGAGAAAATTTTGAAAAATGTGCGCTTTAACCCGCTTTCGTTTATCTCATTTTGGAGATTTACCTATATAGCACTCTTACGCCAGAGAAACGAAATATTTTTTTTACACTTTGCGCCGCGGGTCAAAAGGTATTCCGAGCGGCTTTACACCATAAATTAAGTAAAAATTTCCAGAGCTCATCTCGTATATATGAAAAGGCGACTCTGTACTTAACAAAAATAAAATTTCTCGTTGAATTTACCTCGACCAACCTCGAGCTTCGAGCTCTGTGTTATTATGCGGAAAGATCCCCTCGCTGTTATTATAGAACTTAACTTCTAAGTAGCGCTGGCGTCTCTCGTCAATTCGTACATAAACGGGGGAAAAAAGGCAAAAAAACAACAAACAAAATGAGCCTGGTTTATTAAAAAAAAAATCCATATTTTCACCGCACACGATTATAGTTAAAAATGTAATGCGAAACGAAATGCATTACATCGGCAAACTTACAAATGCACGAGAAGAAAAAGAGAAAAGGTTGAGACTTTCAATGTCAGGTTAAGCTCTGCGGCGACACAGAAAACCGCACTCACGAATTACACGATGTATACTGCATACGTACCTCGCAGCAACTGCAGCAGCAACATACGGCTTGAAATTACAAAACGAAAATTTACCCGAGGGAATTTTCATCGGCAATTATCGCTTTCGCGAAAAAAAAATTTCAGAGCCCGAAGAAGAAGCTTATGAGCGCTCGCGCAAGGGTCCCGTAAAACTCTTAACCTACAATTTGCACTCTCTGTTCTCTCTCGCGCTCGAAAAAAACTCATAAAGTCGTTCTCGTGAAGCGAGAGGGAGAGAGAGAGCCCCTTGCACAACATCGAATCCGTATAACATTATTGAACTGGCAATAATTTCAGTATATGCTTTATTTGTTTCAGAGAGGCCAAAGTCGTCGTCGTCAGTGATCGCTCAAGGAGCAATACAATAATTGCTCGGGATCGCTAGACCACATGCATCTTTTAAATTAGCATCCAAAGACGGCGTATTGGTGAAAGAAGGAATGAAAGAAAGCAAGGAGCAATCGAAATGAGGCCGAGTTCGTGCTGCTGGTTGTTTATCGTCCTCTGTCTTGCATTGGTAGCACTACCCTCTTCCATCATCAGACCGGTACATTCGTTACCGACTGGATCTGACGAAGGTGAGTCATTGCTGCTGTGTACATACAGTCAGCCCGCGAGCTCGCCGTGATACCTACCTACTGGTTTCTCTTTGCATGAACAAAAAAAAAGTATGAAAAATGAAGAGAAAGAAGCTATCGATGGGATATTGAATATCGATTCACCGCGAGGGGTTTCCAGGCCGAGAGCTCCTCACGAGATATGCACACATGCGCGCGCGCGAGAATTAAAAAATCCCTAATGCATGTGATTTTCATTTCGTTTTATTTGCATGCGCAGAGCAAAAAATAAAAGACGAGGCAAAGCGGCCTGCTGCGGATGCCTATAAGGTATGTGCGGGCCCGCGCCGCGACTTTAAATGCGGGACGAATTCACGAAGGATTGATGAAAGAGGAGAGAAAAAATCTTTCAAGTATATAATATTGCTGTGCGCGCAGCGAGCCATTCTTTCTTTCCCAAGAGAGCGAGCGAGAAAGAGAGAGAGCAAGAAAAGGGGAGCAGCTTTGACAAATACGTCTGACTTTGGGACTGTGTGTCTCTCTCTCTCTCTCTCTCTCTCTCATTCTTACAAATATGATGTGGGTGTATATAATATAAGTTGTACACACGACTGTTAAAGGAGGGCTTACACAATGCCGTGTTGACAATTTATGCTCTTATACACAATACGCTTGCTTTTCTGGAAAACAAGCCTCGAGCCGATATTCTGCGGGTAGATTGATATGAAGTAATACGTCGCGCGGTTAAGAGATACTCGGCTATTTTTCTAGCGTTGTCGTTGAAAAATTGAAATCGCTTAAATGTATGCATCGGCGCGCTTGCATCATCAGTGTGTAAACGAGTGCACGATAATCAATTGACTCGAGCTATTTGCCGGTAATGCGCCGTGTACCTTTTTACAGACGACAGATAATGACGAACGTTCGCTTTAATAAAGTAAATGCAAAGACGATCTTAAAGGTTCTTTTCGACGAGGAATAAACCTGCGCTTGTCTCTAGCTGCTCTTCCTCGGCTCCTCTCTCTCTTAAAGCGCTAAAAGGATAGATTTTTGTTGCCGGTATAGCTACTCGAGGATTAGGCTTACGAAGAAGCGTTGAAAGGCAGCAATTTAACGGGATCTCGCGCGCGCGCTATATCCTGCATAGTATATTCGCTTTGATTGCAGCGACGACTACTCGCAAATGAATACAACGGCGGCTAAGGTACTTTCGCAGTTGACTTATTATTCAAATTAAAAGTGCGTATAAGATTTTTTTGACATTCGTTCTACAACATTCGATACGCGCGCCTCCGTATAATGAAGAAAAATTAATCGTTTCGCAGTGGATGAAAATTACGACTCGTCATTTTATGTACACATGCATGCATGCATCGGCGATGAAATTGGAATTTTTTTCGCGCACAGAAGCGCCAAGAACTTACAAGTCATTCGGCGTGATTGCATCGTGATGCAGTATATATCGATTCGAATAAAATTATCTATCGGCCGAATCAATAAAACGACGAATGAAAAATTCAAAGTCGAGCGATTTCGAAGTAGTGCAGATCACTCACAGCTCGAGTTGAATATTGTAATAACTCGTTCGAGCTAAAACAATCAGAAAATTGGAAGAATATTTATGACGAGATCTCGGGCTGCTGCTATAAAATAATTGTATTAGCATTTTAAAACCATTAATTCCTTGCAAGCAGCGAAGGCAGAAGCAAAGCAAAATATCCATCACTTCGAATTCGTCTTATGTTAATGCAACAACGATCGACGCGAATACAAATAAAAAAAAATGAAAAATTACAAACTGCTCTGTGCTGCTGCTTCAACCTGCCAAAAGAATAACAAAATCGACCAGTCAAGCGCGTAACCAAATCCTCTTATTCCGCTTTTTTCATTTTTCCTTGTACGCGTCGTACTTTGGAGCGAGCGGCGACTACTACGGGTAAAAACACTAAAGCATCATAAGAATTATTCCATAATCTTCTCGTGCCTAGCAGCAGCAGCAGGAACAACAAAGTGTCTTTCGTTTTTGTGGCTGTAACTTTATACTTAAGCGAGTTCAGCGGGATTCTTTTTTTTGTAATTTAAAGATACACGTAGTCGCTCGCGGGCATAAAAAAAAAGACGAAACAATTCGGTGTCAATTTCGTTTGCGCTCGCGCGCGTGGACAGTTGTCGAGACCGCAGCGACCGCAACGCACACGCAAAAATGCATGCATGGGTCATGGCTCGCCGCTGCTGCTCGAGCCTATATCTGTTCATTTCGATCATCTCTAGTTAGCATTCCACTCGATAATTTTGCCTTGCAAAATAGAAAAATAAATTCCGTCGTATAGGCACTCGGACTCCATATGTGTATAATGAAACGGAATGAAAAGGGAGCACGATCTCGCGCGCGCGCGGGAGCAAAAAGAGTCTGCGGTCTGTATTATTGCATAGATCGCTTTTCGTTATCGCTCTCGATTCGATCGACATATCGCTTATTATAACTGCTCGATATGCAGTTCGCTCTCTATATTGCTTGGCGGCGGCGCTGAAATGTGCCGCTGTTGGTTGTGTGTATGTGTGTGGTCGATGCCTGGCCGAATAAAAAAAACAGCAGCAGTACTGTAATAGAGGTCGGAGTTGACGGGCTTATACAATGTTGGTATTCATGACGTATTGCGTAATTTTCTCTCTTGTCTCTCCTCCGTCCGATTCGTATCAATTTCAACGAGCTGCTGCTGCTGCTACTGCTACTGCAACTGCAAGCGCTCTGATGATAATACATCATCGATCTTCTGCGTGGCAGTCATTGACTGGAGCTTCGAGAAAACAATGGCTATTTTTCCTTTCTTTATGAGAGCGCCGGTATGAAGGAGACTTCAGGTGCAGCTCTTGAAAGACTCTCAGCGTTTATAACGATAATGACTTTATTGTCGCCCTGGCCGTGCGCTCGGTATAAACTATAAAATCAACCTCCATCACGTTTTTATTTCAACCATGTATGAGTATGCGAGCTTGAGCATCGAGCAGCAGCAGCAGCCGCTTACCTCTTGGCATTTTATGGAGCTTTTTCACGTGTCGCGCCGACATTTTTTTGTCCTCGAGCATATACCGACTGCTTCCGAAAAGTACCATTTTATGTTAGTTTTCCTTACACGCAAAAAAAAAGTTTCCATTGAAAAAAATTTTTTATGTACTTATGGCCGAGGGTCCACGAGACGTTTTGAAAAAGCTTTATGGCAGCTGCGGGTGGCTAACTCTACTACGAGAAACGCGATTCGCACTCGGAATATCTTTATCATCCCTTCCGCGTATTATACGTAAACCCGACACACTTAAAAGGCCGTGATATTATACCGTCGCAGCATAGAATTTTAATATTTTCCAACTTTCGTGATTGCTTTCAACAGTAGCTCTCGTATTATGACCATTTCAATAAATTCGATCGTATAATTGATTCGAACAGCGAGCGCCTGCCGAAGATAATGGCCAAGTTTCATCGTAGAAATAATAACTGAGCTTGATAAAACTTTTTTAAAATTTTTTTTTCATCATCTAAAGCCTCGGTCAGGCGCAAATAATGGTGAAAAAATGACGTTCATTCATATCGATATAGTGTTTTTCTCTCGCTCTCTCTCAATTCTTTCTCTCTTGCGTCCAATCGTCGCAACGCGACCCAGTTATTAAATCAGCGACTCAAGAATAATATCAGTTTCTTCGCTCGACTTTTTATTTTCATAATTGACTTTCCACACTTTTTCGATCACGATAACGCTCGTGCCTGTCGTACGCTGCCCTCTTACGCAATTTTCAATCTCGCGATTATATATCCTTTCTTTCATCCCGAAGAGGTATATTACGGCCTCGAATGAGGTACTCGAAAACATTAAATCTTAAATACACATCTGCAGAATTTATCGGAATTACGAGTAACTATGCCAGCGTAATTGTAATAAGCGAGTTATGGCTAAACATCGGTAAAGCAATCGCCAATCTGCGACTATAATAGCAGAGCTCGAGAGTACATACACGTCATACATCATAGTTGCACTGCGGCGGCGGCGTCCGCATTAAAATTATAAGGTGCAAATCGTAAACACCCCTTCAACGTACTCACATCGAGACTAGATTTTTTACGATCGTATTCTCTACATATAGCGCTATATATCGTTATATATCGTCCAAAGTCAGCATCGTCGTCGAGAGATTTTTCTCTCTCTTACTCTCTAGTGCGCGCCAGCTATACTAGGGACTCAGTTTTCAAAGCTTCGAACGAGTTAATTCTCGGAGTTTTCTGCATAGAGTATACACACACATCCCCATGGCTAGGATATTCCTTTATTCACTCGCAATGGGAAAAATAAAAAGAAATGAAGCAACTTTCTCTGAGCTATAACGTGGAGAGAGAAAGAGAGCTTGCGAAACTCTCATATACGCGTTCGGCTTTTATCAAAAGAAACTTTGCAAACGAGTACGTATACACTCGCGCACATACACACACACACACAGCAGTCACTCCCGCACGTACTACTCGGAAAGCCGTGTACAGTCAGTTTCTTTCTCGTAGCGGTAGCAGCAGCAGCCTGGCCTGGGTCTCTTACGGTTTTTTTCTCGCATGGAAACCGCGTAAGGGAGTCTCTCTCTCTCTCTCTCTCCACCGCAGTAGCCCGGGCAACGTCCGGGTTTTGGAATATCGCGTTGCGAAGGTAATGGTCTCTCTCTCTTGTCGAGGCGCAGTACTGCTGCTACTGCTGCTTCTACTACTACACAGCAGGAAAACGGAACCGCGATAATAGCCACCCTTATATATCAAAGACGATAAATAGCGCGAAATTTTCTCTCTCGCTCTCTCTGAGCCGCTAGCGCTGCGCCGCAACTCGGTGTAGTCTAGAAAGAGAGAGAGAGAGAACTTGATGCTCATGCGTGGATAAGCTCCCGCAACGCTCGAATGCAGAAACTCTCATTCATTCAGCGAGAGAGAGATATACAAGTGCACTTTATACGTGTACAATAAATTCTCTCTTTTTGAAGACGCGATATGCACTCGCATACGGGCACAGAAAGCCGTTGAGTCCTTTCAGCGATGTTTATACATATATAGCACATATACATGACATGACGATTTAACGAGATTTCTTGCGAGCTTTAAAAATGACAGTCGCATTTAATTTACAATACGTTGGCGAGCGAGCAGACCTGCCGGGGCGCAAGAGCAATCAGAATCTTATAGAGAAGCAATATTGCCTTGGCTTGCGCACTCGACGATGGCATATAATGCTCCTTACTTGTAATATAGTTTGAAGAAGTCAAGCGCAGCAATTTTGATCGCGCGAGAGGCAATGTACAACAATGAAATTAACGTTTGAACGCCAGGCCTGAAACAAGCCAATTACACCCCACTTTCCATCTTCGTTCTATATTTGTTTCTCATCTCTCTTTTTTCTGCCTTTTATTCTTTCCACGAGTTGGGTAAAGTAAAGCCGCAAGAAAGTATATAGCGTGCGTATGCTATACGTGTATAACGCGAGTATATTCGCGAGGCTTTGCAATGTAGCCGAGGAATAATAAAATTTCCTGCTTGGAATTGCATTTGCATTAAAACAAGAGAGTTCGTTCGACTAATGAACATCAAAATAAAGTGCCGCCTGTATACGCGCGGAGGAAGTAAAAAAAAAGAAGAAGAATAGAGAGAGAGAGAGCAAGAAGATGATGATATGCGCGTATTACACGAGGCATTGTAGCCCTGAGCTTTTGTAATTAGCTCGATTTTAATATGCTAAGAAACATTTCCTAATCTAATTTCGCAGTGCTTGCTCGGCAGTTCCGACGTATGAGCGTATCTTTTTTTTTCAAAATCACTGCAGTTCCATTAATACAAAAAAGTGCCTTATCTTCAACTACTTTTAATTAACCTGGATATTTTTCTGTTTACTTTTGCAGCAAGCGAAGATGTCGGCTCAGAGGACGACGACGTGTATCCGGAGGAGGACGAGTCGCCGTCGCCGACCATGTCGAACGGCGACTCGGAGCTCATCGGCGGTGGGCCTGGCAACATGCCCATCTTCCTCGTTGAGCCCGTCTCGTCTTACGTGGTGAAGAACAAGCCCACGACCCTCCACTGCAAGGCCTCGAACGCCCTCGAGGTCTATTTCAAATGCAACGGGGCGCAAGTCAAGGATCACATGCAGCTGGACTTTGTCGATCCGCACACGGGTACTCGGTACGTCGAAGCCGAGCTCAACATCACGCGCAACCACATCGAGGAGTACTTCAGCAAGGACAAGTACAAGTGCGAGTGCATCGCCTGGTCGAGCGCCGGACGAATAAATAGCCAGCCTGCCGTGATCGACGTCGCCTGTAAGTCTCGACGACTCTCTTTTTATTATAATCGCGCTCTTTCATTGAATGTATAAACATATTCGCGCGAGAGATGCGTGTGGCTTGGCGGAACGCGAGTATCATTATTCACGCGATCGTTAAGATTTTGTTTACGACATCCTCGCGCGCAGACGCACGAGAGAAAGAGAGAGGCTGCATCTATATAATAAGATTTCTATCCCGGGATCAATCATAAATTCAATTAGTTGTGCATACAGCATAGGAGCCGAGCGTCGTATGCAAAACCCACGTTTTACGCGGAGAGTATATTATGCACTCTCGGTAGACATTTTAAAGACCTCATTACGCGGTTGTAAATTTGAAATTTTCGTGGATTAATGAGTTAAAGCCCGCGCGGAGTTAATAAGAGAAATTTTCACAATTAGTCGCCGAGCTTGGCGCAGAACTTGGCAAGTAGCTCAAGTGCTTTGATGTATGTACCTATGTATGAATTTGTTGTAGTTATACGTGTGAGAATAAACGCGTGCACAAATGCACGCAAACACGAGGACGTGTTCTGATGGAGTCGCGCGCGGCACACGATCTTTGTGCGATACTTGTTACATTTGCTGAACGCCGCTGCTGCACCGTGTGTATCTCGTTTCATAATTCCACGGTATATGTAGTACAGAGCGCGTAACATGCGTATGAACCAAGTGCCACACACGTAACAATTTAAACAAAGATACGTATTATACGCAAGCTGCCGCGAAGGCCGATACGATATAATATTATATCGTGTGTATAAGGGTATTGCATTGCAAAAATACCGAGTGCGATACACATTTTACTCGGGCGATCGCGACTATAAATTGCGCAGTGGCAACGGATTCTTTAATAAACAAATTTGTATAATGGATACAAGCGTAATTCGAGATTTAGCCGGTGTTCGGGGGCTACTACTAACAAAGTAACTTCCGACAACTCATCAATCAATCATTCCGAGCACTCGAACTCGTCGATTGTTTTTCTTTTTTCTTTTCTTTCGCTGCCACTTGAAGATGTTTGCTTTACAATTAAAGCTCTCGACCGACACCTTGCGCGCGTGCGTGGAGAGACTCGAAATTTTACAGAAATCGCGACATTGACGACGGCAGTCGAGAGAGCAAGCAAAGCAAAGAAACAGAAACAATTTCTTGCGCAAAGAACGTCGGACGTACGAGACATAAGTGAGCAGAGACACGACTTATATATACCAATGCCAACTAAAATAAAGACCCCGTTTGTCGTGCGGCTCTCGCTGTAGTTTTGCGCAGCTCACACATATTCGTGGGTACGAGCCGGCAAAAGAGTATTGCACTTGCTGTGCTATATATGTTGCACTATACGACCATAGAGTGTTTTTGACCGCATCCTCTTTTCACTTATATATTCTTCGTGTACGTGTAACTCGTGGTCCATTGAAATGCGGATTTATTGTGCGCGCGGCTATTTCAGTTTTTGTGCATTAAGAGTCAGGTATAACGGCTGCAATTTACTGCCATACCGGTAAAGTCTAGAACTCATTTTCTTTTATTAAAAAAAAAAAAACAAATAATCGACTACTTAAACTTTGGTAAGGGGTTAATAAGGTTAACGAATGGACCTCTATAAAGGGTTTTTAATTAATTGTCCAGCGTTTGAAGTGTTGCAGATCCTCTGCATATTATAGTTCCAACGTCTAATTTTTCATTTTTTTCATGGAAAAAACAAGAACTAGATATTTCAGTAATGCAGTAGGTTAGTTGCAGTTACTATAGCTGGGTTCTTAATGATAGACTTTTTCAAATGAATCGCGGCCACTGTGACTATTTTTCAATGTTCCGCTCATGTAGTAGAATAGAGATGATCGTCATCGTTGCCGCGTAATTTAATTACACGCATAAAATCTCAGTGCAACTCTCAACTTTCTGCGCATGATTTCAGAGCGCATATAAACACTCCCATAACGGTAAATGATCATCCTAGACTTTTTACTGCGTGCGCTACATTAATAGAACATTTTTAATAAGTGAATTTACATTGAATCGATCGGGACTATATAAATTATGCCGCTCATTAAATCAAATGGCACAGTCAAACGCATCGGCTTACATGTGTCTAGATTGCGGCATAAATACACACGCGTATGTTTATAATAGATAGACGAAGCTTATGAAGCTCATTTTCAGTTACGGCTTCTCTATATCATACTGAGTATAAATAATAAGCTTGCGAATCGAACCATCATTTGTCAATTATTAAAACTCTTTCTTTCGTGCGCACGTACATTACGATCTATGCGCAAAAAACCGTGTGTATGTAGTTTCCTTCAACGAACGCGCAGCGCGTGTATACAGCAAAACTTTTCCAACGACAGAACGGTTTGTAGTGCATATATACTTAGGTACTTAAAACAATAGAGGTATTATTCACTATTGTGCAGCAGCTCGTCTCTCTCTTTCTCTGCCCATGCATTATAATGTTACACACGCGTGGCTCAACTTTTTCCCGCGAAAAAAGTCATCGGCGCGAAACCTAAATAAAATTAGACAGTATATCGCTTCATGTTATTTTTATACACGCACACACACACAAATACACGTAAAACCGTTCCTGAGTACGTGTTTATATTTGCAGAAAGCATGTTTCGTTCCTCGGAGAGCGACTGCATCGCCGAGTTAATTACAATGGAATTTCATTATTCGGCATTTTAATTGTCCGTACTTTGCGCTTGCGGTTCTCGGTATTCGTATACGAGCCACGGCCTGTACGACACACGTCAAGTCGTTAGGTCATTGCTAAGATTCGAATTGCGCACACAAGCTCACGAACTTAATTGAATATATCTCGTTCCTAACGTATATAGTCGCAAATTATTATCTTATTCGCGTATACACAATTTTGGTTCGTTGACCGATAAATATGATTTAGCGGTTGTATATGAATGTAGCTGATCTGCTAAATTACTTGAAAATTTATCGCTCCGATTAATTGACTTTTATTGATCTTGCGTCGGTGTGCACCACGCGCGCGCCAGGTAATAGTTGCGTGTAGCAGATAGTGTTCTTATCAATTACCCCAGAATCTATCAGACAATATTAAATTGCTGGCAAAAGGATAGGATTGATCCCAGAGGAACAATACAAATAGAGTTGAAAAAGGCCAATAGCCGTGTCTGCATTGTATGAATTTCTTGTTAAAAATCCATGCGAGCTTCGAGGGACTGTGGTCGGGTTAAACTAAACGATAAAAAAAAATGCGAAGAATTCATCCTCGTTCGGTAGTATAAATCTAGATTTGCTAAAAAAACAAGCTTGTTTACATCAAACTTTTCTCGGTAGAAATTGTATTACTCTGGAGTAAAAAGGACGTGTTTACTTTGGCGGTGGGAATTTGGATGAAATCAATGTCGAATATTTTTCTCTCTCTCTTTCTCTGCAGTCTTCTTACAAGTGCAACGAGTCAATAATCGTATTAAATTTTTCTGCATTACATTCGTGGAGATAAATATCATGCATCTCTTGGAAAAAGCTCGGCATTTGCACGTGAATTTATATTTTCAAGCCGCGTTATTTTGCACTCAGGCATGTACGCGCGATAACAAGTTCTAGCTTCCGAAAATCTGAACTGTCGCACACGGCTCTACGTAAGGACTGCGTCGAGGAAAAAAAGGGGAGCTCTGTATAGCTCAACCTTACGCAACAAAATCCGCTATGGTTATATGTATAGGTCTGCACTGTATTCGCGTGCTTGAAAGAATGTGTCGAGCAAGTAGAAGCTCTCGAGAAATCAAGCGAACATCTGCCATAGTCGTCGTCGTCGTAGAGTCTTCGCGTGTATGTGCTATATAGGTATATATCAGTACGTAGTCTTCTTTTCCGATTCTCGGGAGTAATTTTTTCTCTCCTTCGCTCTCCTCTCAATACGCCAGTACGTAACAAGATATTCGCTTGGGCTTTCTTCGGGTGTTCCGGCGCGCGTTCTTATACTTTTCCCTCGGCTGCGTCGGCGGCGGCGGCGTGTAAGTACTGCATTGCACCGCACTGCACCGAAAAAGAGAGCAACAAACGCTCGTGGAATATTGAGTGCTCAAGAAATTATCCGATTTCCTCTATCAATATTGGTAATCTCTCGCTCTCCGAGGCTTGCGTTACTTCTTATTCTGTCCGTTCTCCCTTTATCCCTCGTGCAGATCGCGCAGACTCGCAGAAAGAAACAATTTGAAGCGCACAGCTGTCCTTATTATACGTTCTCGGTATGTCTGTTCAGTATACCTAAGTAAGTACATACATACGAATGCTTGATTTATACACCCTCGCTCTTAATTCACACACTCGGCAACGGAGAAAAGAGGAAAAAAAGTCACCAAACTTTTCATAAGTCGTGATCGGATTTTATCGTTATCGTTTCTTTGAAATTAGATGACTTCGGGAGCTTGATATTGTCAAACGAAAAATCTGCTCGAATATTTTTTCAAGTATGGTTGTGTATTTACATTTTATTTAAATGCAAACGAAAATGTATGAAAAAGAAAGCGCGCATCGAATAAAGACGTCATCCTTTGGCAATGGCGATCAATTATAATACATGAAAGCTCGGCGAGCTCGGCTTTAGTCGGAAACGTCGGCTAGCTTCAATTTTCATCGCGCTGCACAGCGGCTTAGATAAACGATAGGCTTATCTCTTTTTCTAGAGAGAGAGAGAGCTCCGAGACTGTAAGCGCCGCATTCACGCCCCTTCGCTTTGTCCATGCGTTTAGACCTGCACGTACACTTATACGTGTATACGTATTACGGCACAGCGCGCGCGCGTGCAACAATAGCGGCAACGGCTCTCGACTCGGGAATTTTTTTGCACCGGTCCCAAGCGTCGAGAGGCTGCTAGAGCAAACTGAGAGAGAGACACGTCGTATCAGTGGCAAGCCATCTCTTTCATGCGCGCAATATGCACATTCGAATCAATCCCCCCGCATATATACACACTACATGCGCTTTGGTCGCGCATACATATAATGTAGCCTAGCATTCATACGTATCGCATGTATTCTCAACGTATCGCTCTTATTCTGTTTGATAGATTTGAAGAAACAATTCGAGTCGCCGCCGTACTCGGTGTCGGTCGAGGCCGGCCAGAGCACCGAGCTGAGATGCCTGCCGCCCATCGGTCTGCCGCCGCCAAGGGTCTACTGGCTGAGAAACGGAGTGACCCTCGAGCCCAACAGCAACAGTGGAGGCAGCGAGGCCGGGGCCGACACCCTACTGGTCTCGTCCGAGGGCCATCTGCTCGTGGGCCAGGCCAAGCTGAGCCATCAGGCCAACTATACCTGCGTCGCCGAGAACATCGCGGCCAAGCGTATGAGCGAGCCCGCCAGTATCACCGTATACGGTAAGATATTCTGCAGAGTTACTCTCTTGCGCTCTTTTGTATTATACATTCAGCGAAAATGATTCTTATCGTCGTCTGTTATACCAACTCGAGCCGAGCGCGGTAGTTATTCTCAGCGGGGAAGTCACTGACTTCGCATGAAACGTTTATGTAAGCCAGTAGAAATAGTAGGTGAGCGACACGATTTCATCTGATTAGCAAAAAAATAAAAGAAAGAAAGAATAGAGGGAAAAATGTCCGTATACGATACTTTTGCTTCACATATTCGAGCGCGCGGATTGCTCATGTAGCTCTCGTCGAAACGCACTGCAGATCCCTATATATAAAGCAAGAAAGATAATCACGTACGAGGCTGGCGACAAAATTGGAATATCAAGAATAATGTAATACTTGCGCCAGTTCCAAGGGACTTGGGATTCGCTCACTCGGCGTGCATACTAGAGACAGCAGCAGCAGCGAAACGGTTTTCCAGAATAGTTCTAATGCGAGTCGGCGCTCGCTACTGCTGCTGCTGCTGCTGATGCCGTAGCCTCCTCCATGTGCAGCCATTTGCATATGGAATATAATCCATTTAAGAGTTGCCTTGTATATAGTTAGCAAGCGTAACGCGTAGAACCAGTTTCTTCGTATCTTAATTTCGTTATTATGAGTTTAGCTTTTGATACAATAATACAACGAAGCACTGCGTGCAGGGCTGCACGAACTGCGACTGTGGCGGCGAGGCCTGTACAAGATTTTCGCCAAGTTTCGCCCAATCCGTGACGCACGTACTATATATTATACTCTCGGCAAAGTCTCGTTAGCCAACTATCCGCTGCTTATATATATTTCTTTCATCGGGAGAGCTCCTATAATATAATCGTGGATTATCTTCTCGTCTGTGAGATTATTTTTTTTTCAATCTCGATCACCTGTTACTACTTTGCTTCGCGTATACGTTACTCGTTAAGCATCGATTCGATCAACTTTTCTGTCATTCGTATCCGTTCGTGAGGAAGAAGAGTGTTATAGCGAGCCACCAACTCACTGCACTGCCAGTGCCGCGAATGAAAAGCGAGGGAAAAAAATGCAGAAATAATCTTTTTCGTGTCGCTAGCGAAATGATCGATGCGCCGAGTCCCGCGCCAGCAAGTATCGGATTTGTAAAAACTTTTTTTTCACCGATAAGTCGATCATTTCACGTCTGCAGGCGTGCTAAGGTAAATAATGATTTTGTCGGTTCTGCAAATAAATAATAAAAAAATAGGAAAAAAGTTCGAGGACAAAATTGAAAAAAAAATTTTACACTTAAAAATGACAAAAGTTGCTGAGAAGATTGTGTTCGTGTGCAAGAATAGCTTATCGACCTATACAAGCGTGGGTACATAATACGCGAAAAGAAGTTTATCGGTATGTTCGAGCGTTTCTTATGCATTGTATTACAAAAACTTTTTCAAGCTCTCACACGCCTAAGTATGACTTCTCGAGTATTTCATATTTTGAATGGTTCGCGTTTATTTACCGGCTGGAATAACCATCGAGAATATAGTATAAGAGCGCAGTTTTGCTCAACAAAATATTGTCCATGCTGCACTGCTGCTCGAGTGAGTCGTATAAGTAGGCTCCGCGAGCTTGTCAGAGTATCGACTTTGACCCGGCACAATGTTTTGCCATCGTCCTCTATTGTTAGGTAGATCGCTCACAAGGTGTTCGCAAATCTTATTTGGCCGTCGTATATATAGTCGCGGGACATAAAGTACACGTAGCGCGCAGGAACACAAAGAATCCCATAAATACGGTCAAACACGTACATTGCCGACAATCGAGTCGGCGGCGCGACTATGTTGCACGTGTATGCATTACATTCGGTCGCGGAGTCGCGTGGTTGCAGCTTTTTACGTGCGCGCAAGGCGTATACAAGAGATGGAATGTCATTGGCTGAGCCATTAGTTGCAACAAAACGACGATTAATCATTGCCGTTATATACGCGCGCCGCGCTTGCCTACAGCGAAACCTCTGTTATACTTTCGAGCGAGCGAGCGAGCGAGCTAGCGAGAAAAAGGAAAAAAGTGCGTGTTATTTTTGAGAGCCGCGAGTCGAATCGCCGCGCTTACAAGCTTACACGCTGGATACACGTTATCGCTGCTGTACATAATATACGCGTCAATTTAGAATTATTGACGAATTCAAATTTACAATGCTGGCGGCCGGTCACACAGATACTCATCAGTTATTCATTGAAATGCCAAATGATTATTAAACCTACGGCGCGCGCTGCATATTCGCGAGTGAGTTACGAGCACGTGTATGATGAATATAGGATATTATATATAGGCTACTGCAGATAGTGGTAACTATATATTTGACGCTACATAGTCTGGCATGCGGCCCTCGCTACTACTGCAGCTCGAAATAGATTGCGATATTCTACTTGAATGAATAATGAAATTCTAATGTTATAATATTCCGGAGAAATTTGGCACGTGGCACAGTTAAAGATGCACAGCCTGTCAAATATTTATGTATGCGCCTACCACTCGACTGGCGCGCTACTGCACCGCGCTACGACGCTACATTGCTTCATCCCGGATGAAGCCGAGAGTCAAAATCAAAATGAGTCAATATGCGTCGACGAGTGACATGTGCTAGCTGCTACTGATGAAATTAGGAGAAAAAATATCTCGCACAGGCGCTTGCGGAATTCCTCATTTGCGTCGCCGATGTAATTATATACACACATTCGACTAGAGAGTGTTTAACCCAAATTTTTCGAAGCGTATCTTTCGAAGCGCGACTCGTTGACGCGATCGATGCGCAAGAGGAGCTCTGCTTCTAATTAATGCTATATAATAATAACGACTCGCTACGAGGACGAAGAGCTCATGATCAAACATGTTTGTGCTTTGGATGATTACAGTTAACGGAGGCTGGTCGTCGTGGTCGGCATGGTCGGAATGTCATTCTCGCTGCGCCAAAGGAGGACAAAAGAGGACGCGGACCTGCACGAATCCGGCGCCCATGAACGGCGGTCAGCCGTGTCTCGGTCCTGCGATCCAGAAAAACGACTGCAATACCAACTGTCAGCCTGGTGAGTTGTGTCTGTATATATACCTCGCATTGCCCGCGCGCTTGTCGCATATTATTCTCTCTCTCTCTCGCTCTTGACTCGACCGGGCTTCGCCGCTGCTTGCGATATATCCGCGAGTGTGCCGTTTTTCACTCGATAAAAGCCAAAGGGAGGGGGTCAAACTACCCGTGGAATATAACGAAAAATGTGCTCGTGTGTGTGTTTCTGACTGTATGGTACGTGTGCGCGCGTGCACCGCCTCTCTTTTCTCTCGAAGCGACAAAGTGCCGACGTTGTGTTACGGGCTCTCGGCATCATTCACCAGATGAAATTGTCGATGAGAGAGCCTCGGTGACAGAGACCGGTTTTTCTTGTAAACAGTCATTTGAACGCGAGCCTCTTTTTTTCTTGCTCTTTTCCCGCGTGCAGTTGAGTGGCCACTTTTCTTGATTCATAATGCAGCTCTGGCTCTGGCTCTTTCTCCGTCTCTCTTTCTCCCGGTCTATGTCGCAGTCGCGGCCAGAAACGTCGAGATTTGAATTTGTGGTTTGCGCGTTAAATGTTAATGTTCGCGTTTCTTTCTCATTATCCATCGTGGATGCAAGCACGAGACGTCATCAAGCCTAAGCAACTCGCGGAACGTGAGAGACATCTCGCTTGCGTGCGTGGCAGCTTGCGGGTGAACTGCACGTATTAGGAAGACGAAATATCTCTCGTTCATAATTTTGCACGGCGTCTATGCTGCACGATGGCTATTTACTAATGTTTCCAGCGTGCGCAATAATATACGCGGAAGAGAGAGACAGAGAGAAACAGAAAAATAACAAGATATCCCGTCTGCAGTTGTCTAACGTTACACACTGCATACGTGATTCTGTGTACGTTTGTGTGTGTGTGTGTCTTATATTATAAGAACTTGCAACTGTAACTAGTGTGTGCACGTACGTATGAAACAACGATCCTCTCGTATAGCACGGCACACTTTAGTGAATATCATTACATGCAGTTAACAATTCGATCATTTTATGCATTACAAAGTTATCTATAAATATTATCTGTAATAATATAAGTTTATACGTGCATAATTCTTCGCGGGCACTTTCTATTCTAACTATAATATCATAATGGTAAAACATTAAAATTATCCCTTTTAATGCCTTCCATCACGCACGCTTTCACAATGTGTATGTAACTACTAAACCATACTCATGATACTAACCATCAACAGAGGAGCTGGAAAAGTTCACTAACACATTCGGTGAGTTTTAACGTTCAAATCTGTTTGTGCATTGTTTATGAAACTTCATTTTTATTTTTAAATAAATAAAAAAGAAAGGAAAACTTTAAATTTTACCTCCCGTTGATTATTTTTCATTCTCTTTCGTTTGTACCACCACAGAATTTCTCCTGCTCGCAATCCCTCTCTCTCTCTCTTTTTCTTTCCTTTATTACACCTACTGGCCGCATGATAACGAGCTTTTTACCTCCTATATCCCGCAACGATAAATCACTGAGGCGGCACTGGCAAGGCTAGTGCGAGATAGGGATAGAGAAAGAAAGAGAGCTAGTCAAAGCGCACAGTAGAAAGAGAAAGAGGAAAGAGAAAGATAAATTTGTTATAAGGAGGAGGAGTAGCAAAAGCCAGCCATATAATAACGTCACGTTTCTTTTTTTTTCTTGTCATTGCAGCTCCGGTCGACGGTGGATGGTCCAGATGGTCGGCTTGGTCGGTCTGCGGATCCAATTGTACACACAGCAGACGAAGGAGCTGCGACGACCCGGCTCCGAGCCACGGCGGCAAACAGTGCTCGGGCAAGGACGTCCAAGTGGCCAACTGCACCGGCGGCATGTGCAATGGTCAGCAAAATTTTCATTAAAATATACTCTCACATGCCTCATTACCCTTTTCCGGTACGTCGCTGTATCTCTCGCCCACGCGTGCTAATGAGAATCTCTGTTGTGTACTGTGCTTCTGTACGTCTGTATATGAGCAGCAGATTAAACGAGCTAAGCGATTAAGGGATTTAATTTTCCCTTTTTCTCTCACTCTCGTGAGGGGGTCTTTTTGTAAGGAGGCTCGTTTGATGTAAGGTACTGCAGAGTATTTTACATATTTGGGTTTATCGAGCGTGCCTTCATAATGAAAGCGAACAAACACACGGGTTCTTCGAGCAGTTTGTATTTTTTAAAATAAAGCGTGCTACGATTTTGCTTTTAATTTTTTTCGGTCTGCACTGTTGGTCGTATTTATGTATACGTGTATAGAATGGAGCGTTTGTTTACCTTTCAGCGAGTTTCTTGATAGCTTATGCAGGCGTTGCAACTTGGCAAAGTTACGGAAACGAAGACAAGTTGCAGGGTATACGCCAGTAAGAGAGCGAGAGACTCACCGGTGTTTCGATAAATTTTAATGTTTCGTTGGACTTTTGCCTACATTAGACTTGTCAAGTCTGTCTCTCTCGGTCTGGTCCCAGTGGTAAAGGTTTTGTTGCCGTTTGAACTCTCAGGGACTTAACTTCGAACGAACGAGTGGCTTTTTATTCGAATCGGAAGTTAATTAATATTTGTTTAATCGAGGATGCGGAATGAAACAAAATACGTAAAAAAGTATTTGAAATCCACTCGAGAGAGGAGCTTTCGCGGTGCTTCAGTTCGAGCTGCTGCACTCTTACAGGCTTACAACTCGATGAATTTAATAAGCAGTAGGATTTTTTCTCCGCACTTTAATACTCTTGTCGAACGTTTAATCGTTTCGAAGCTCGAGCGTAGATTACCGATCGCGCACTGCTTGTCTCGCTTTTTTAATTTCGAACATACACCGATATTTTTATTATTTTTAATGTATACACATTTGGGTATACTGTGCGTAGCAGTACTCGCGCGCGTGATGATACATTTTATGCCCTATTATGCCGAATAAAAGTATAAAATATCTCCGAAAGAATGTGTCTCTCTTGTTATCGCTGTTGGCTCGTAAAATCAGTTCGAGAGTGCCGCGTTACTCGCGAGTAAATTGACATTTTACGAGCTGACGCTTTTCCTGTCACGCACCCATGGTGTATAAATATATCGCTCTCGAAGCGAAGGCTCAAAGAAGAAAAAAAGGACAGGCTATTTAAAATTCCCGAATCACTTCATTATTATATCGAATATACTCTGTGTGCGATTTTATCGAACATAATAAGAAAACGTCTGTTTGTTTTTGTGTTGTTACAGTGGACAGCGCTAAAATCGGAGGTCACTACACCGAGGAAGGTAAGCGTATTTGCTGCTCGAAGCTTTTCTCCTCTCATTTTCCGTCGTCACACAGCGCGGTGAATGGCAAAATTTTTATCATTATTAAACTCTTCTGCTGCTGGTGCTGTCTCTGCGGCTGGCTGCGCGTCATCTGCCGTATCTGTGCAGTAGCACTTTACGACTTCCGCTCGACTCTCTGCACGACGCGAGGCGAGCCGCCGTCGCAGCGACTAACAGCAGCAGAAGCGAAGAGCTTTTATTAGCTTCATTAGCCTCGAAGGATATCTCAGTCATCTCTCGCCATATATTTCTCCTTCGCGCGCATACACGTACAAACTGCGCGCGTACTTTGAGCTCACACGCACATACATAACTCTTGAAATATGCTTTTGTCTCCTCTGTCCCTGCAGCGAGTCGACAAATGGACGTGGCGCTTTACGTCGGCTTGACCGTGGCCTGCCTTGTTATCGGCGGACTTGGCTTCTTCCTCGCACGACTGGTTCATCGCAAAGGCCGTGATCACTCGCTCTACTCCATGGCACGAAGTGGTAAGTTTTATCATTATTATTTTGTACTGTCTTTGAAAATCATTCGATACACACGGGTGTGCGTCTATAACACACAAACCCTTGCAGCAATATACATTCGCACGCGTGGAAGATTTATTGAATTTACGCGAACTTCTCATGCGTCGGAGGAGCGAGAATTAAGACGCACTACTTGATCAGTGCGTGTTTGTTTAGATGACGAATGGACACGAGCACACATAGGGGTGCCTGCAGTCGATACGAGCTTCTATATGCCTACCAGCGTAAAGCTCGCCTAGTAGTCCAAGTAAATGAAGAGAGAAAGCGAGAAAACTTGGGTAAATTGAGGATTAAACGAGGGGTGCGCTCCGAGTTCGTGAGCTTGTAATTCGGACGTGGATATAAAAATTAGACTAGACCGTGTTGTACTAAAATCTTGAGAATATAGATAAGCTTGGGGGAGGCGAGAATCTCGAGTGACGGGGCGCACACTCGTGAATGTGCGCGCTGATCTTTATGAACCTTGAATTTATGTTATTAATCGTCGAGCGTTTGATGTTTGCGCTGATTTTCCTTGGACATTATCAATCGGTTATTCTTAGTGTCGATACGACGCTGCCCCTAGCGAAAGCGTTATTATCGTGTTTGAATAGTTAACACGGCGCAAATCTTTTTTACTGCGTAAATGGATCTCTTCTCGTTCGTAAGATAAAGAAAAGAAAATAAAAGTTAGACCTTCTGAAGTACATTAAGGGCGTGCAGGCAGGGGGAAGAGGAGGGCTGAGAACGAGCCGAGAAAAATAGCTCCTGCATGAGAGCATGAGGGATCGTATTTGATTTGATTTCATGCGCGGAGGGATTAGATGTATAGTAGAGAGAGAGGAAGGAGGGACAGAGAGCAAGATTGGACGGATACAACGCGATATAAGAGTACATCAGAAACTTTCGTAAATTGGACGCTATAACCCGCATGTATAGGCGCTGCACAGATAAAGCTCTCGCAATTCTGTTCTTCGGTTCAGCTGCTGCTGATTCACGTAGTGGTGAATTATATATAGTGCAAAGATAGCACGGTAAGGCTCGAGGCCTCGTGACTATGGATTTATTTAAAGTACAATAGGTTATATTTTATCAGGAGAGAGTTTTGTTTTAGTTTATGCTTAGACCAACGAATAATAAGTCTTCCGCAATGATCCAATCATCCTGATTACTCTTAACGAATGTTTTCCTAAACTTATTTATTGCTTGTATCAATAATGATTATTTATTCCTTACCGCGTAAATACAACTTTTCATCTACGAGAAATCAGTTTTACGCGGAAAAAAAGTATCAGTAATGGCTAAAAAACATAAATCTGCTAAATAAAATCTATATCTCGCAGTTCTCAATTTACCACTGCTTCCACGACGCTCTTTTTTCCCCCTTCGGAGGATCTCTTCTCCCTCATACTCTCGGCTCGCTCTCGCGCATAATCCAAATCCCAGTCGCGCAAGGCAATCGTCTCTCATCCGCAGCAGCATAGGACAAAGAAAAAAAAGAGAGATGAAAAGAAAAAGAAAACGTCCTCGGGAGTGAAAAAGGTTCACTCACACTGTCGGGGAGGGGTCAATGTCTTTTACTTTACACGCAAGGGTATATCTATATTGATGGTTTGTTGTTGTTATTTTTCGCAGACTTTCAGCCAGAGTTCTATCCCGATCCGGAAAAGAAATTGTCTCTGCAGCCGGACGTCACAGCCACGATAGTTCCATCTTGCTACGAGTACCCGTTCGATCCGAAGCACTCGATGAGCCGCTCGCTGTCGGAGCACCATTACGACGTGCCGCACCTGTCGCTGCACTCGGGACCGCAGTCGTCGATCGTTCCGTCGACCATGTCACCGACGCCGAGCACGTCGACCCAGGAGTCCTGCAGCAGCGACAAGCAGATGCTCTCGGACAGCGAGCACAGCCTCACGAGCTCGTCCTATCCGTCGACCGAGTCAACCTACAACGTGGCCACGGGCAACGTACGACTGCCCATGCTTGAGGCCGGCAACGTAGCTCGCGCCCACGTTAATAGCAAGGGTGCCCTTCTGGTGCTGCCTGACGCCGGTATATCCATGTCCGTGCCCGAGGGAGCCGTGCCCAAGCCGTCGAGAAGCGAGCTTCACCTGGCGCTGCTGCAAGAAGATCGATTCAGACCCCAACTGCCAGGTTAGTTTGATTAAATACACACAAATATCGTATGCAAGCTCTTGCTTGGTGCGAGTGTCTGCCGCGTCTCTCTTTACATCAGCTGTCATTTAGCGATTGATGCGATTTATCGGTGCTCCCGGTTTCTGCCTTATATATATACTAGCTTCACCGACTCTTGACACTACCCTCGGTGTACACCTGTGACTGTGCGCGAATGTGTATCAATTTCCAATGAGAAAGTGTCGCGTCTGGGTATTTCCCAAATATTCAGGAGGATCGTTTCCTTGCGACGTTGAGATGCTCCGGCGCCGGCTACAACCCCCGTTGGCTTTTTCAAGCTAAGAGTTGTGTCGAGGCTCAAGAATATACATGTATACAGTATAGTGCCAGTTTTGTGCGAATTCTCCCGGCGAAAATTGAATAAACGCGCCGCGCCAGCATTTGTGTGTACAACTCTCGCACAGACTCTGATGATCGAATACGTCGTATGTTTAAAAAAAGTGAGATCCGACGCTCGGCTTAGAGCTACAGCTATATAGCGTCGGATAGGTTGTTGAGATTTGTATCGGTTTTCAAGGCGTAAACATTTTCCACCTCAACATTTCTCGCGATTAAATGCAAAATATACGACGCGGTTAATTTCATCTTTCTCTTATTCCACTCATGCTGCATGGCGAAAATAAAAAGTCACGGTGTCGCTGCTGCTCGGTATATAATGCGCAAATCATATGAGAGAAATTAATATTCAACGGTTGCCCGCAACACAGTCTGGCGGGCGGGCGCACTTGCCGTTTTGGTAGAGAGGATGCTGCCTCGTAAATTTCGATTTCTATCTCACCACGTGCCGCAGCAGCAGCGGCAGCTTATACGAGAGGCTAGAGATCTTGCACACAGCCGCGTCTGACTCCTGCACGCACGCAGGGATAGATATGTACTATATATATAAGCGTTTGCTTCCTCGAGTGGATGAAGAAGAGAAAAAAAAAATAATTTCATCAAAATATTGGAGGACATAAATTATTTTGAACCTCGAGCCGAGGAATAATTTCGGGAGGATATATAATATGATTTTGCGATGCAATGTGTAGGAGCGTTTTATCAAGTTATCCGATCACTCTTGGTTCACATCGTATTCTCCCTATTTATACTGGCTATTTTGTATCCTCGCCTTTGTTGGACTCGTTCGTGCGATATCTGGCTGATCTATCGAAGAAGCTTACATTTTTTCGCGTACTTTTTTTATACGGAGCTCGAATTCCAATATTGCGGTAATTAAACATTCTCAAATTGAAACGCAACATTATTTACCGGTAAACTATTTTTATCATATCTTTATTGGCGTCGAGTAAAAAGGTTGACTTTTGATGTAATAATAAAATGCGAATCGCCCTACCATAAAGGCGTCAGTCGAGTGTAGCTTTTTGTTTCTCAAATATAAAATTCTTTTACGACCCTTGGGCGCGTGCTAATATCCGTACTCTTTTGCTCATCAGCTGTGCTACGCGGCCGTGCGCGACTCCTCTCCGCATAAACGTGTGAACTGTTTAATGACAATTTGCATTATATACGGTAGGGTAATAAAAAGCCAATTCCGAGACATCACTCGTCGCAAGTGCCTTCGTGCGTCGAGAGAAGGGCTTCACTCGCACCGTATATATAAGAATTCCTTACGACGATGATACATATAATGATAAAACCATATACTATAACAGAGTCGTGATGAAATTTTGTGTTCAGATGGCACGACGCAGCTGTCGGCAGTGGTGTCATGCGGTCCTGCCACTGCGACTTTCGCCAAGCCCGTGATCCTGCAGTTCGAGCACTGCGCCATGCTCCAGCATCAGGCTGCAGCGGGCTGGGAGCTGAGCGTATGGAGCTGCGACAATCTCGAGCTCGACGAGAGCGCCTGCAACGCCATAGCCCAGACCAAGGACAAGCCCATCGTGTGGACGAAGCTGCTGACCCTGGGCCAGGAGACCATCAACACGCCGATGTTCACGCAGCTCGATCACGCCGAGGTCTTCATCGTGACGGAACAACTGAGGACCTACGTGCTGGCTGGACGTAGCTGCGACACGGCGATGGCCACGAAGCGGCTGCGTTTGGCCGTGTACGCGTCGCAGAGCTGCGGTAACGGCAGCGACACGTGCAGTTTGCGCGTCTACGCCGTGGAGGACACCAAGGCGGCCGGCAAGGCGGTGGCCGATCGCGAGGCACAGATACGCGGATGCCTGCTCGACAAGCCGAGGAGTCTGCCGTTCGAGGACAACGGAGCGCCTCTGAGCATCAGTCTCGAGGAGGTCGGCAACGAGTGGGCCAACAAGTCCCCGACCGATCGCCAAGAGCTGAGCTTCGACGAGGTCTGGAACAGCCGGGAGAATCTCAAGTTCGCCAGCTTCGAGCTGGACGCGGTCGAGTCGAGTCCCAACACCCACACCTACAAGCTGCAGATCAGTCAGAACGGCTCGGTGGACGCGCGCCAGGTGTTCCGCATCATCTACGACGGCTCGAAACAGCTGATATCGTCGGGCAGTGTGACGCGGCCTCTGCGCGAAGTGACCGTGGTGAGCAGCGTCGTAGGCCAGAACTCGGGTGGCACGGGCCAAGGCGGCGACTCGAGGACGCTGCGACCGTTCCGCTTCACCAAGTCGCTGAGGAAGCAGCTGTGCCAGTGCCTCGACCCACCGAATTCGCTCGGCAACGATTGGAGGATGCTCGCACAGATGCTGCGCGTCGATAGGTGAGTACTATATACTACGTAGGCTATAATACGTACCTCGTATGGACCGTCTAAGTGAACTGGGAGCAGTGCGTGCGTGCTAGCTGCTCTCGAGCCAAAGTGCGCATGGGGTGCAGACCGTAAAATAGCGTCAAAATCGGGTGCACAAGGGAGCAGTAGCACGCCTGGCAGTTATTATTAAAACCGAATAACGACCCGTAGCCTTTATAACTATATATATATAATTTAAGGATCGAGCGGGGAGCGATTCTTTTTTTTTTTCGTCTTCGCCAAGTCCTTGATTGATTGAGTATTCATTTGACTTTGAATCAAAGTCGACATGTGTGTCGTTGCCACTCCAGACCGCGCGCGGCTCCTACTTTCAAAAGCGCTCGATTACGAGCGCATAATATGTTTATTAACGGGGAGAAAAAATTATCTCTCCCAAGATTATTGCGCAATCGTCGCGTTGTTTATTATAAAGCGAGGCTCGCGACGCGCTGAATTGCATTCGCAAACGAACGGACTTACATAATTAAGTACGCTCATCGCTCATTAGCGGCATCATGATATGCTGGCGCAGCGGTCTTATCGTGCAGTGCGCTATTCATCAAAGTCAATTTTTCTTTATATATATTCTCTCGCCGCGCGCAAGTAATATGTCTTCAGCGAGTACTTCGCGATTCGCGCTGGATATTCTACAAAAATGAAAGATCGCTTATTGTCGACGCGCGGGACTCTTAAGAAAATTGCTGCTGCGCGTATTATATAGGCGCATTACTTTCGTGTATGATCGCGATATAGCCTCACCTGCAATTATTATTATACAGTTATTATGTAAAATGTCGCCGCTCGTAGCTCCAAGTTATGTGTGTGCAGAAGCCAATTTTTAAATAGAGTCTCTCTCTCTCGCTCTTAAGCGCCGGCCGCGTATGCGTCGGGTGCGTAAAAGTGCAGCAGTTGCACTTACCTATATACGTGTGTATACGCGCATATTACAACATTTTCCTGAACAAACATAATGAAATCTCAGCTCATGCTCTTTCTCTCTTTGCGTGTTCGTGTGATTAGCGCGCCAGCCAGCTTACTCGGTGCTTATATCGTGTTATCTCACTCGCGCACACACATACACGTTCGTGCGGCATTGGTGCACTCAGCCTTACATACATGTACGTGCTAATCGTCTGTATTCATATTCGCAAGCCACAGATGTAATTTATGGTTTTGTTCGATTAAACAAGTTTTTCGCGGAATTGCAAAAGAAAATCTCCGGAGAGCGAGAGAGATAAAAATGCCAAAGCTCAGTCGTGTTGACCAGTATTACGATTAGATATTTAATACGGCGAATTCGATCGTCTCGTTTCTCTGTGACAGAAAATGTCGTACTTAAATGGGTGCGCGAGAGTTCATGAAGTAGCTAAATTAGCGCACGCGCTACTCTTTCATTATCAATTTTGATTGGTTGCGTAACGGCCCGCGACACATTTAATACACGCATAAACCTCATTGTGTGCCCGGCGCGCTGCTTCGCGAGTGAGTAATAACGCGCTGCTGTCCAGTGCGGGCTTTGATCGCGGTAATGCGGCAATCCCATGGCTTAACTTTTGCTTTACATTTCATTTTTAGCGTCCTTTTATATTTTCATGACAAGGCTGCACGACTGCAATTATTTATTGTTACTCATCAATTCCGATAAGCATATGCTTTATATAGCTCGCTTGTTATGCAGGGCACGCGCAGCTCTATCAAAGCAAAAACCCTTACATATAGTTACATTACGAACGATAAGCAAGAGACGAGTTAAAATTCGCCTATGAAAGTGCGAGCGCGTGCGCGCGTGCTGCGTGGAATACCATATACCACAACAAAAACAATCGCGAGAGACGAGCCGAGTTGAAGCAACATCCCATGCGCCTCGCAGTTCTATTTCTTCTTTGCGCTTTTGATACACCCCACCTTCGTCTAAACACGGTGGCTTGTGCGTGTACACAGTCGCGTATAATGCACTCCGTGCGTTAGGCAGTGTAAGCTCAAAAAGGCGCACAGACGCTAGTTCCGGGAAGATAAACTATTAAAAGCATCGTCTCGCTGCCGCTGCAAGCCAACAGCGTGGCTGCTCCTTTTATCGTGCTTGATTCATCTACTCTACCTTTGCCGTGGCTTATATACTCTCTCTCTCTCTCTCTCGCGTATACTCTTTACGCACTCTGCATTAAAATATAAAGGCGCATCATGCAGACCCATTGAGCGTGCCCCGAGTGCGTAACAAATTTCTGTACTCGCACATTTGATCTATATATAGCATACTTGACTGATGTACTTGAATATAATTTACAATTTTTCCGTGTTTTGTTTGTTTTGCAGATATATTAATTACTTTGCAACGAAGGCCAGTCCAACGGAGCACATACTGGACTTGTGGGAAGCGCGGCATCGCGAGCCCACGGCTGTAACGGACTTGCTCAATCATTTGAGGGTCATGGGTCGCACGGACGCCGCAACAATACTGGAAGCTCAACTCGGGCCCTGGCTATAAGCTCGACAACTCTTACTCTGCTAAAAAAAATGCGCAAAAGACATTTTTAACACAGTGAGACGTGTCTTGTATGCAATTGTGATTGTGCGCACGCGTTTGTGCGCGTATGTGTCATTGGACTGCAGTGCAACAATACAAAGTGCAGCGATGTCGTGGAAAAAGGGAAGTGCATCGGTATTTTTATGACGAAAAAAAAGTGCGTGCGCAATGATGTTCTTTAGTGTGCCATGTTCCGCGAAGAAGAGGCATAAGACGAAGAAGCACAGAGAGAAAGAGAACGTGTCGCGTTGCTGAATCCACACCGAGTTGTATGTGCGAGGCGCCAATCTGCGTATGTAAATTCTCTCTCTCTCTCTGCCGCGCGCCATTCCTATATTACTGCTCGTATGCGAGGCTAGAGAAGGAGAGAGAAAGAGAGAGATAAAATCTGCAAGCGTGAAGAAAACCGCAACACGCTACACTCTAAGCAGCAGCAGTTCCGTACATAAATAAGGTATGACTTGAGAGCGAGAGAGAAAGAAAGAGGGAAAGAGCGCGAGAATATGGGAAATATTATAGTTAACGAAATATGGCCTTACGTTGCGTATATTTATAAATTATATACATATATTATCATCATTATGATATACATATATAATTATAAATGCGCATTATATCTTGTTTTTCTTTTTTCTCTTTAGGAAAAAAGAGCAGCGTGCGTGCATTGAATTGCGGAATAGTTTATAGAAAATAATAATTGGGTTAAATGTGTAAATATAGCAAACGAAAACCGAAAAAAATTGAGTAGTTATCGCGTAGCGAAAATAAAAAAAACGCGAGATATTTAATATAGCGAAGAGACTGCGAATTATACGTGTTCGATCGCCCAACGTGGTGGCGATTAAAAATAAATTATATAATAAATATATTATATCGAAAAAAATTATGTATAGAGAATACTTGTGTGAAATGCCTGGTTTTGTGTGTAGCGTATGTTATTTAGTGTATCGAGTCAAAGAGCTGCCTCGTTCGTGAATATCTTTCTACCAAAGTAATTTATTAATTCATATCCATACGAATCCATAAATAGCCATTCGTTCAGCTATTATTTATTATTTTGGCAAATTTCTTTTACATACGGGTATGAAAGATTAAAACACATAGAGCCGGATTTTATCGATCCCATGTAGATTTATTGAACGGATGTGGTGTCCTCGAGATATTTCCGGTTTATACGAATATATATTCGCTTGTCATTTTTTTTCGTACACATCCGAAACTGCATCGTAGCGTACCATTACGATGCGCTTCGCGATGATTCGCGTCGAAATTTTTCATTCTTTTTATTTATGTTCAACGACGAGAGGCTTTTTCGACGATATACCGTTGTTTTATGCTGCAAAAAAAGAATCGATACACAAAAATGAAGCGCGCACGTCTATTACGTATGGATAATAGCGTGAAATATATTTTTTTGTTTATGGAGATGTGTACTAACGCTTTTGTTGACTTTTTTTTAACGCGTATACATCTTATCAATGTATTTTAGAACGGATCTGAATATAATAGTTTTGTACGAACAATTTTATCTGTAGTTGTTAGCCCTTTTGTATCGGTGAAATCTTTATATCGATATGCACTTTTTTTAATGAATTTTATTCAAATTTTGACCATCGATCATTTTTGAGACGAAAGTTTTTTCAAGAATCGAATATAACTTTTCCTATATCAGTGATAAGCCAGATAAATGTTTAACATACTAAGCGTATCTAAGTATTTCCGGGAAAGTTTCTGGATTGTTATTTTTCTGCGAACATTTCTCGAATACAACTATTGGAATGTTGCACAGAAAGCGATCTGGTCACATTTCTATACAAACTTTTGATGCCGGTGCAAGCATGAAATATGTCTGATATATGTGTATATGCAAGGTATTACTAGAAAAAATTATCATAAAAGGGTTAATGACTAAGAGTATCACGATGTTTATATCAATTGTAATATATTTATATGCTAATTGTAAAAAAATTGTACATTTTTCTGACATCATTGATAATAATTATCAAAAAAGAAACATTTATACATAACGGATAATAAAAGTCTACTATCAACATACATTCAAACTAAAAAGATTCTGTTAAATTTTTTCCCTGATTTTTCCCTTGACCTTTGATGGATGTCGAAAAAAAGCTCAAATGTTTGCAAAAACAACCGAGCTCTACGAGGTATGTCTATATCGTGCCGCAGCCACTATCATTTTTGCGTGTTATGCATACATAAACTTGGCAGTATATACTGCACGCACAAAAGGCAGCGCAAGCGTACGATCATTGAAACAACAAAATTCAACTCGATCTACGAGAATTCATAAATATTTTGGTAACGTTTGGACAATTTTCAAAAATGAATAGATGAAAAAATGTTAGTCTTACCTGACAGTTTTTAGAAATTTTTCCAGTCCGGTTAATTTCAACAAAAACATTTTACACGCGCATTATTTTCACAGCCAGATACACACTTCAAAAAAATAACTTTATGAAAAAGAGACCATTGAATGCTCGTGTCAAATAGAGAACTCATTGAAATAACGTTATGTAGAGCAATTTTGGAATTATATCATATACAAAAACACATTTATGTACGAAGTGATAATTGATAATTATCGGTGTTATTGTAGTTACAGATGTATTATTGTATATGAATGTATAAATTAGTAAAAGAAAAAACGTATTGACACTGCATTTACACGACAAAACATATAAAAAGAAATATGATGGATTTAGATGTGTATTTTAAAATGTGTAGGATGAAAAACGGTTTGTCGAAACAAGGTGCGCCTAAAAAATACGTGATAGCAACTTGCAAAGCAATCGTGTTTCACTATTCTGAGTTAAGGACATACCAATGCGACTCGCGTCCACGACGCAGATCACGACGATAATAATGATGAGCCACCCACTTAAAGAAGTAGATGTATCATGAACGTCTTATAATTTTCGCGAGTTTTTTTTTATAAAGTTTGTAATACATTCACATTTGAAAGGGAAGAGACGTTTTAGAAATTTCGATGTTACACAACCAAAATTGAAAAAAAAAAATTAGTGCCTGTTTGATCTCTAAACATGACGAGATGTAATGAGATTTTTGCAAATTTTTATTATAATCAGATGATTACGTGATATTTAAAATCATTTAAGTAGTTTATGCGTTAAGTAGCTTACTCTCGTGAATTCCTATTCATCGATTAACACAAAAATCATCAAAATAAAAATTTGATGGCTCTGAATAAGTCACTGAGTGACGATCAATAAAACCGCTCGTATGTTAATGTAAAGAGAAACAATTTTTAAAAGTTAATGACTCAATTGATAAAAATGCGCGTCAACTATTTATTAGTTGTCTTAGCTAGATTTTTGCTCTAACGTAAATAGACAAATAAATGTGAGTACCATAAATATTAAAATTTCATATACAATTATATAAGTACACAATATAATATCGTGGAAAAAATTTGTCTTTAAAGTGAAAAATTTTGCGGAAAGGGACAACAATATAATGAATATAATATGCGGAGGTGAAAAATGTATGTATAAAGCGTAATTTTTCGTTATTTATTTCATAGACATGAAAAACTGTGCCAATTTTAGTAGGGTCTTTTATCGTTGTGTACACACTCTAAAACGTTATTTTTGTTTTTAAAATTGTTGTGGTGCCAACATGACGATAAAAATATACATTTTATTGTCGATTTTGGCCTGGGTATTCAAAATTTGTTTAATTAATTGATGTATTTATGCCAAATTTTCTCAAACATACCATTTATTTGGCTTCGCACCTCATAAAGAGCAACTAGATTTTGAGTAATGTTCCTTGACTTGCAATTTTTGAAACAATAAATCAATCCAAATCAGCAAATATATTTGGATTTTAAGCTTGCCAAATTTTCGTAGCTTTTGAAGTATATCTTAAATTTTTTTGCAGAAGACATAAAACAAAGTCCAAAATGACACGAGGACAGATATTATTTGTTTATTTTTGTACAATAGCGCTTGTAAATGCGTATAGCACAGAGAAAAAAGCGTCATGCTACAATACGAGACGTGCTCTACTCGAGCATGGAAAAAAAGCTCTTAATACGTTTAAGAATGAAAGAGAAAATAGAAAAAAATTATCTCATCTCGCACATTATACATACATGCGATTACATTATCCTCGATTTTTCAACGGTGTACCCCCGCTCATGCACATACTAACACACATGCAGACGCATACACACACACAAATATTTTTCGTGCGCCGTAGTATACGTACGTGACTAATACCTGCCGCGGGCTGTGTAGCTCTCTTCAACATTACACAATTTAAAATTCACGAGGCGACGCACGCACCGACGCATTATAAATGTACGTAAAGGTATGGATGACGCTCAGTAGCAGCAGCAGCGAAGCGCGTGTGTGTATGTGAGTCTCCGAGTATGGGTAATGTAACGCCACATAAGAGTATAATATTAATACGATGGCCAACGAATATTATGTACGATTTCGACATGTTGTAAGCATGCTTGTATGCGAGAGTCTGCGTAAAGAGCGAGTGATATTTTAGGGGAAAATATGGCAATTGTTATACGTATTTGGTTTAATTTAAAATGCTCGTATGCTTCGTTTATATCAAAGATGAGTGTAAATGATAGAACCGTATGAATATAATTTGAAATGTTTTTGCTTCTTACACAAAAGGAGAATTGAAAATGTTTTGTATGTTTGTTATTATTCTTAGAATAAAATATTCTTGTATACCTGAAAATGGTTTATTTTCTATTTTCATTTATTGAACCTCAAACTCCTTTTATTCTTAATTTACAAAAAGTTGGCATATAAAAACTATAATCAAGGAACTTTTTGATTAAAAATTTATTGTCTTTACGTGATGCATGAATATTCCATTTGCGAAACTAGAAGCTGATACTGCACCTGCACTTTGTATTCACCAGAGCCTACAGTATATATAGGGAAAACCACCTTATATTGAATAGCATATCATATTTCGTTTGCATAAGTACGACGATGGAACAATTTTTATACAAAGCCAAAAAATCATAGCCTCAGCTATCGCGCTTTATTTCGCGCAAAGTTAATGCTTTGGATAAGACGTCTTATTGGTAAGTATAAAAGCATATTTTAGCCTTCATTCAATAATTATCTTGGCGAACATCGAGCGCACATTCATACTAGTAAATATTTTCCTAGATTAAGCTAGAATGCTGCCAAGCGATCGGTTTTAATGTTCTTAAGAATGAAATAAATTCATAGCTTATGCCGCTTATATGCGCTCGTATCAGCTTTCTGTAAAATCATCAAACGTGTAATGTATGTACTGGAGATACCCATACGTACATACATGCATCTGTGCGCGCTCAAGAAAGTAATTTCGCACCGTTCCGAATCACAGTTATGAATCTTGACGAAAAAAAAGGAAATGGGAAAAATCCCATCAACTAATAAAAATGCGTGAACGACACGATGAAACCACGATGGAAGTCCATACTGTGGATTATATATGTATATTGCACTAAAAAATTTGCAAAATCTGCAAAAATTCAATCATACGGGAAGGGAGTAGAAGTTTCTTTTTATTGACTCGATGTAGATATATATCGCGAGTATCTGTATATATGGTATATATAGGGACCGACTCTTTTTCCGAATCGACATATCTTTCAGTAGCAGTACCTGCAGAGTTGGTTACGAGGAAAATTTGCATATTTGTTATGTCTCGGGAAGAGGCTTCCCTCCCTATCTGAGAATAAAATATTCCTCGGTACGTTCCGGGAAATTTTGCGCTATGTCTATACGCGCGCTGTATGGCGCGTACCTATAGAGTATTATATATGTTATATACGCGCATCGAGCACGTGCCTCGGCCTGGTAAAAAAATTTTTTTTCTTCCTCTTTCTTTCGCAAAAGCCGACGCGAAAAAAGCATCGGAGATAGAAACTCGTCTTTTTTGTACTGATGTGATGAGTGCAGAGAGAGAGAGGCTCTTTAGGATTAAGCACAATGTGCGGGTTCTCTCTCTCTCTCTCTTTCTCGTTTCCAACGGATAACGCGAATTGATTCACGCACACTCACGCACACATTCGTGTACTCACAGGAAAAGCAGCTTAAGCATATATACGTATGTATGGATCTCAAGTCCTTTTCTTACAAACCCGCGGATTTCTCTTATCGCAACCATATATATGCGCGCGTTTGTGTAAGTATACGTGTAAGCGCGCCTATACGTGAGCGTGTGTGCTGAGTGTAAGTAGTACGCGACGCTGCCTCTCTCTTCTCACCCTTTAGGCCGCTGCAGCTTTTTTTCGCACTCTCGCATATATTCTTGCCGCAGAAGCAGCAGCAGCTCAGAAGAGGCGGCACGAGCTCCTCCTCTCATTTTCGGCCGCGCGCATTCACGTGCACGATTCTTACCCTTTTATATTTTTTATCCCCTCGGCGCAGAGCTACTTGACACTTACGTGCGTGTATATACCTTGTCAAAGTTTCTTCTTATTTCATATCACACTGTCAGACGCATCGAGGATAGAAGGGATGTGTATTTTTTTGCGCGTCGGGTAACAGCAGCGCGCGCGGCAAAGAAATGGTTATGCAATTGAATTGTAATGAGTTTAGAGAATGCTTATTATTCGCGCTTCGTGACCTTTGATGGAATCGAATCCGTATACCTTTTCTTTGTAGTTATACGATTAGTCCGTTGAGTGAATCCTTGTGCGTTTATAAATTTGTATCGTATGATATATTTCCAGTAAAATAGAACGTTACCTTGGATGAAGTAATGTAATGGGTGCGTTTCTTATAGATGAACAGATTTAATTCATCTTATATAAATAGTTACATGGTCATTCATTCATAAAAAGGACTAGGTGAAATATTAAACCCGTAGAATGCTCGAATAATATAGTATTTTTTTTCTTCTCACAAAGTGTTATAGAATTGTGCTCCACGTATACAGTTTGATTATTGAATCAAGCGTGTCTAAAAAAAATTTTTCTCCCGTAAAATGGCTCGCGCCGTATTTCATTTCACGAAATACAATATTTTCTTGTCCTCGCCCTATCTGTTCATTCACTTGGTTTCATTCGAAACTTTTCGTCGTTCTGCGAGCCTATAAGGTCGCAACACCGTTTGGGCTCGAAAACACAAACTTTTTCCGCAGCTCCTCTGGATCATTATACGGAAGCAGACTCGCGCGACCACTTAACAAGCCTCACGAATTAGCATAATCTTTTTCGTTGGCGTGAAAAACAAGGAGCAGCCAAAGCGGAAAGAAGACAAAGACAATTGGGGCGTCGTCGCTGCACGCACGCGGACATGCTCACTGCGTGTTGTCGCTCGTGAGAGCAGTGAAAAGAACGAGCGCGAAACAAACTTTGATCATAAATTTCTCTTTTTTTTCATTACTTTGTGTTATATAGTGTGCGTGCCCTCGTCGCTATAACATACAGTACGGTATATACACGAGTGAACGACCAACGACCAGCTTCCATGTTCCAGCTACTTTTTTTTTGCTCGATTAATATTTTGTGGGTGATTTTTTCAAACGCTTCGAAATTTCCTTTCTTGAGCACTGCAAACTACACAGACACATATAAAATGTACGATACAAAACGCGCGTGAAAACGTGCGAAAAAGCGCTCGCTCGTGCAAAAATGATATTTATCACGTTGCGTTAGCAGCTCTCGGTACACACGCACATACAATCGCACGTGTAGCAATTTTCAAGTGTCGATACCATAACCCGCATCCTTTCTCTCGAATAAAGAGCGAAAAAAATGTATTGGAAAAAGAGCTCCGGGTGAAAAACTCGGGCGCGTCGCGGCGGCACACAGAAGCAGTATACGGCACCCGGGCAATGGCAGTGGCGAAAAACGATTAACCTATACCTGCCTGCAGCTCGCGAGTATAATAAAGCCGGGGAATATAATACGCAACGAGCTACTCGATGTCCGACCAGCAGCAGCGTAAATATGCCGGAGAGAAGAGAACAGCGCAGAGGCGGACACGATGATGAAAGTTTGAATTACATGCACGATTATTACGTCCATGTTTCTCGCAGGGGTATTCGCGAGCTTTTTTTCTAACTCGCCTATGCAATTCTTTATTTCTCTCCTTTTTCAGTGCCGATGGTAGAAATTCGTTGCGTGGACGGCGGGGCTATAGGAGCAACTTGGCATTACTTTTTTTCCGCGCATGTAGAGAATGAAAGAGTGAGATAGAGAGAAAGAGAACACGAGCACAAGGGCCTCGTTCGCCGCCGGTTTATTGGGATTCTTTGAGTGACTTGACGTGGACGACAGTTAATTGTTCCATTTCGAGAATAGACGAATGTATATAGGGTTTGGGCAAAGAGAGCACAAGCTCGAGTTCTGTGATTGCACTAATTTTTTTTTTTTTTTTTTCGTTACGCTGATATATATAAATGCTTCCCTCAACGCATTTACGGCGCACGTAT